AATTATTATCACGAGAAAACTGACAATAGCATTGCTAAAATACTTTTTTTTATTCATATTTGAATTACAATCTGTCTTATAATTAAAATACATTCAGTAATTAATCTGGGACTTAACAAACCTATGATGTTTTTAGAAAACTACTATGTTTTCTAATTTATGAAAATGTGCTAAAATAATAGCAGCTACATTATAAAATCTTTTTTTATTGGTTTTTGCGTTAGAATCTTTTTTCATTGTTTGTGTTTTAGCAATTAAAAGAAATTGATACTTGTGTGAGATTTTATGTTTTATTTGATTGATATTGAATTGTAGTAAATCGAGCTTCGATAACGTTTTAAAATCATAACTTCGAAACATAACGCTTCACATAGTGATCTTGTTATTTGTATACAAGCTCTATTTTACATATGCTAACAATATATCAATGCCGAATTGAGCTCAAGATGAATATTCTATTACATATCGAGTTGGAGGAGGATGTAGGAGATATTTGTGTTATTTAAGTTTCAAAATTCTTAAATTATAAAAGTACTAATTACGAAATCCACGTCATCATAATTATTTTCATAATGACATTGCACCATAGCGTAATTGGTATCTTTGTAAAGTCTACTTTGTAATAATCATATCTATCCAAGGCTAATAACCTTTTTATTTGAAACCGAAGTAGTTCGTTGGATAACATGCTTGTATTCTTATTAATATTTTCTTATTCATGACTGAATCTATAATAATTACGGCTCTGTTTAATTCATCTACAACACGGATATGTCATGAATCAGAAAATCAGTTAAAAGAATATATATATATTTTTATCGTGTCGTATGTGGGTTAAATTTAACGCTTGGAAGTCTTTATAGAGTAGTTTAGCGTTAGGCCTGTATGAGATACGATAATTAGTTCGAGTGTTTCGCATGCTATGACCGATCTAACGTGCACTGCTGCCGTTATTAGCCTACCACGAGCACTCGAGATTCACTCGAGCGGACGGGATGATCCGACGCACGGGCGCCTGCACCGCCTCCTGCACGCATCGACACGTCAAACCACCCCTAATGATTATAGAACTAGCTGTAAGTGGAATTCTGTCTTAAGGCAATTAGGGCATCGTGCTTTAAGGCAAATTGCTGGAACTTCCCGTACCAAAAATTATTATTTTTTTAAAAACGATTAACATTTTTGAAAAAAATTTACTTTGAAAAAATAAGATTTTTGAGAAACTATAAATTGGACAAAAAATAACTCTTTTTTCTTTATTTTGACATATTTTGGAAGATCTGAACTTTTTTTTCAAAGCAATCGTACTGCTTTAACTGCATAAGGACAAAATATAAAGCGCGTAAGCGCCGCGTCGCTGTCTAACGCATGAGCATTGGTACGGAACCCCTAGGAATGTTAACAAAATGTATACTTATTGTTAAAATCTCTATAAAATATCTGATAATTTGATGTGCATATGTCTAATGATCATTTTTGACCGCCAAATGGCTCATTTTTTTACTTTTTCCTCTATATCTCCGAAACCGCTGGACCTACCTTCATGAAAATTGTATCGATTCTTCATCTTGTCAATACAAATAAAATGTTTTTTGAATTATTCAAATCGGACGCTCCGTTCTCTTAAAAACGGAGGTACCGTTTTTGGCACTTTTTGCCCCGTATCTTCGGAACGGCTAGACCTGCCTTCGCCAAAAACTAATCAGCACGTCTCCTTATCAACACAAATCGATTTTTTTTTTGAATTATTGAAATCGGTTGATCCGTGTTCCCGAAATCGTCGACGAAAATTTGTATCCGCACATACATACACACACGTACATACATACATACACACACACACACACATACATCCATTTTTTCTAAGGTATGCCAAAATGTTCAGAAACCTTTGAAACGTAAAGATATATAAAAATTTTCATTTTCGATTTTTTTGCGATTACTATAACTTGCCCTACGGGAAGTTAATAATGTCCAAAATGAACCATTTCACTTTAACACTGAAGTTCAATTATATTTTTATTGGTGTAGTACTACACAGAAACAATTTTGTCGCAATATTTCTTAATTATGCGATTATTTAACTTCATGTATTGATTTTTAGAATTTCTGCTCTAGTATCAACCTTAATCAGTAGAAATTGAAGTTTTTTTTTGTCAAATGGGAACCTCAAATATATCAATTGTATTGCATCCTTGTAAAAACAAACGATGTTTTAATCAGCTGTTTACTTACATGACAGTATTAGCTCCAAACTAGTGGTGTATGGCATTGCGCCTTAAGGCAAATTGCTGGAACTTTCCGTAACGTAACGAAATGTTCGAGAGATATTAAATGTTTTCAAATAGATTATTATAAATAAATACTGTAATGTTGTCTAATATTTATAAGAATTATATAAACTTAATTGCAAAGTTGAAATTATTTGTTTAAAGTATATTAGAACTTTAGTCAGAATTAAAATTAAAATCTGAATTAACTTCGATTTACAAAAAAAAATTGAAACAAAAAATGTTTTTTTTCAAAAACAATTATTTTGTTAAAACAAGCAAAAAATTCTTTGAATCATTCAAATGGGACGCTTAGTTCTCTCAAAAACTGCCATTTTTTTGCCTAGACCTGCCTTTGCTAAAAACTAATAACTTCTTTTCTCATTCATTACAAATTCAATGTTCTTTAGATCATTCAAATCGGATACTCCATTTTCTGCACTCCTTGCTCCAACCTTACGGAGATACCCGTAACGGCTAGACCTGCCTTTGTCAAAAACTAATCAGCACATCTCCCTATCAATAGAAATCGAATGTTTTTTGAACCATTCAAATCGGTTGATCCGTGCGCCCGAAAACGTGGACGAAAAATGCGGACATACAAAATACACATACACACATCCATTTTTTTTGAGGTATGCCAAAGTGTTCAGAAACCTTCAACGTGAAGTTATGCAAAAAAATTCATTTTCGATTTTCGGTCCATCACTATAACTACCCTACGGGACGTTACAAAGTTTAAACAATTTTATTGTAGTATAGTAACTATGTGACTTTAAGTCACAGCAACTAGTGGTGTTGGCATTGTGCCTTAAGGCAAATTGTTGTAACTTTAGGTACCGTAATTTAAAATTTTTAAAAGCTTTCATTTTTGCTTTTTTGAAAAAAGTATAGACTTTTTTGAAAACTTTGACATTGTTAGAAAAACATGAAAAAATCGACATTTTTGATAATTTTGAAAGTATTTGAAATTTAAATTTTGTTTTCAAGCTATAGCGCTGTGTGCCTGTTCTAAGGTCGAAATATCGAGGCGCATGGAAATAAAATTTGTACTTATTAAAATCTCTATAAAATATGTACGTATACCTTATGATCATTTTTGACCGCCAAATGGCAACTTATTGGATTACCGAAATGCCTGGACCTTTCTATTGAATTTTTATCAAACTTTCAGATTCTTCTTGCAGGCAAGATTAATATACATATATTACCTAGTTTTTATCGAATTCCCAGATTACTAAATCTCCGGTTCTCCTTGCGGACTAAATTGACGTATAGGGCCCCACTAATTTTGAGAAAATGTTGTCTGAAATTAATGAAAGATCGAGAAAATACATGTAGTAATAATAACAGTATACATTTTGTGACAAATTTTAATTTGATAAAATATTATATGATTTTTCAAATATGAAATTCAGTTTATAAAATTATTATTCAATTAAACAATTTTATTCTTCAATATGTATATATTATTACATTAAGCAGAGAATGCTGACAAATATATGATAAGTTACAGTTGATTGCACATAAGTAGTTGTACCCAGTGGCGCATCTACTAGAGCTAATTAAAATATGATAACAAAAATAATTAAAACGTAAGAAAAAAAGAAAACAATAAGATATAGTGAAATGAAAGTATTATAGTTAATCATACTATATTGGGTCTTAGGTTTCTAATTTATATTTAAAAAAAAAATGGTTTTAATGCTCTCTCGCATATTTTTTCAATAATTTTAGAATATATTTTTACATTAATTTGCTTTTCTAGACTGAAAATATTAAACATTTTCAGTTTTATCGTGCAACAAAACTTACGAACTACCACAAAAGAAACAAAAAAGATAATATTAAGGGGCACAACTAGTGTAACCGCCTAAAAAAGGTGATTTTTGGGAATTTATATTAAAAAAACTACTTTATCAATCATTTCAAAATTTTAGGAATATATTTATACATGTTTTAAGAATACATAGTAAAATTTTTGAAGAAAAAAATTAAATATTTTTTAAGTTATCGTCGATCTCCAACGGCGCGACGATAAAAAGGCCCTTCACTGCTGCAGTGATTACGGCCTACTACGTGGATGAAATTTAAAAAAAAAAATTCGTTAAACTAGGTAATATTGTCTGTAAAATGAACTACGATAAAGAAAAAAAATCAAAAATTGACAAAATGACGGCGTTTTTTTGAAAAAAAAAGTCGAATTTTACCCAAAATTTTCATCGTCTTTGGACTGCCAAAATTCGATTTTTGATCCGATCAAAAAATCGATAGTTCATTTTACGGAGAACTATATATAGAACATGTAAAAAAAAAATTTGATAGTGATCGGATCATTTGTTTTTGAGTAATCGCTGCAGCAAATTCGGAAAATGGTGTTTCGAGAAAAACGCGTTTAAAGATTAAATGATCGTTATATATACTCTTTAAATGGCTGTAACTCAAAAACTATTCAAGATGTCGATTTAAAATTTTGGTATGTTATTTTTAAAGGTATATAAACTATCAAAATATTTAAAAATTGAAAATTTGATTTTTTGAAAATTTCACTCTAGTTGTGCCCCTTAAGGTCAAAAATCTAAAACTACATCTTTCAGTCTCTTCGTTTTCAATACGTAGTTTTAAATAACGATATTTGAAATTTTGTAACGATTAATATATAAATGAATAAAATATTGTTTTCATAATGCACTTAAATTTTCTAAATTTCGATATTGGATATTTTTCTAGCTGTCGAGGTGACGTACGCTGCCGGGCTGCCACAAATAACCGTTCCGCTGCCAAGCAGGCGAGAGCGGTGCCGATTCACGTTGCGACCGGTCACAAACACCGTCGGCGACTTCATATCTATGCTGCGCTCCGAGGACCAGGGCGTCGATCGAGTAGTTTGCGTAACCTGCTCCGGAATACGAATTGCCTCCTCCGACAGCATCGAAGCTTTACTCGAACGGCCCTTCCTTTTGGTCATCAACGACAGGAAGTTTGAGGTGCATACTTTGCTTATGATATGAATTTTATGATAGTTAGATTGCCGATTAAAATTTTTATTGTTTTTGAAAATAATTATCCAGTGGTGACCTAATTCCATTCTAGTCATGATAAATGACTATTAAATTTTACAAATTGAACATTAGAATTCTAGAAATTTACTAGCAAAAATCATGTCATTTTTGTACTCGAAATTTTTCAATAATGAAATTATCAAGAATTATATAATTTTACAATCTTGATTAAATGCGCCAACTTTTGATGAAACTTGCCAATACGTTTTATAATTCATTTTTTAAAGGAGGATCTCTTAAATAGACCGATTTTAAAATGTTTAAATTAATAGTTGAACAAAAAGTCTTAATTATTCAAAACTAGGGGCAATTGTGGTATTTTTTACTGTGGTTCTAAAAATATTATTCACGGTTACGGTTTCAATGTTTAAGGGGGTTGTTCTTTTTTTATTTTTCTTTGTTTCGGTTTTGAGATTTTTTGATATTATGAAAGCTAAAAACCTTAGAATTATTTAAAAAAAAAATCATCTCAATATCTATTTTTTGACGAAGTTATAGATATATTTATCTCTATATGTATGATCCTCTGAAAGCGTTTTTTTATCGCTCCGCGAGCTATTGTATGCCAGCTGCCTCTTTTTCGTTATAATACCTCATGCACATGACCTTTTTAATGTGTCTTTGAACCCCATGGTGTATTTAGTACATTAAAATAAATGGTGTATTTGTACATTATATTAAAAACTTTAAATACGTTTTTCTCAAATTGACTTTTTTTAATGCGGTGCCACAAATTAAAAAAAAAAACTACAAGTCGGATCGACTTGCATTTTTTTTTAATTTGTTCACGACTGCAATACCTAGTCCTCCCACCTCAAACAACTTGATAACATTACGCAAAAAAATTTTGCGAAGCTTCCCGCCTCAAAAAAGGCCTTTTCTGACACTTTTTTTTTAAATAGCTGCCATTTTTTTCCTTCTTGCTTATTTTCTTTCATTTTGGTAGGGAGACTGGATACAAACTTCTTCTTCAACGTAGTTTTTTTTTTTTTTGTTTCGGGCGATGCGCAACAGATTTATCTGTGGCACCGCAAAAGAGATAGATTTTGCAAGACCGACTTTGGCGCCCCCTGGTTAAAAAATGACGGCGCAAAAAAAGTAGAAAATCACGTAATATTCTATGACTTTGTAGTTTGCGTTTAAAAAAAAACGGATGTCTCTATGATAAATACATTTCGGGAAAGATAAAAACAAATATCTTGCATTTTTTTAACAAAAAAAGAACAACCCCCTTATATGAACAAAATTTATAAAAGATAACTACTATAACCGAAAAATGGTCATACTTTCACCAAAGCTCTTGTTTGCACTTAGCTCATAATTCCATTTGTGCTGTTTTTTTTCCTTCCCCCAGTTGCCGGGGGATATCATTTGGGTCAGTATAACTGGAATTTTTTTTTTAAAAAATGAGTCATTATAAGCGACATGTCAATGTTAAGAAAGCCATTATATCCAAATGTCTTATAAAGATTTTTATATAAAAACCAAACTTTGTAGTATGATTACATCACAATAAGCGGTCGTTAATATATTTAGCATCATAATAGGCGGATTCTTTTGTGTATATACTTACATATATTGAGAATATATAATATATTGTATATAATATATACATCCATATATTGTTAAAAGTTATTTAATAAAAAATATTCAGTACGTTGCATATTCAATTTAATTAATTACGTAACTATTATTCAAGTTAATAAAATATTATCGTGTCGAAAACGCATCTCGGATTGTACATAATCAATATCACAGTAGTAATTTTTATTATTACTACCATCATTCTATCCAGGTAGATCCTCCGCCCCGTGAGCGATTAACTACAGAAGAATCGAGTAATTTAGCAGAAGTGCGTGATGTTGTTCAACGTTTGTACGAGGCGCTTGAAGTTCGGGAGCAGCGAACACGCCTTGAACGGGATATTATTGGCCGCATGGAGCTTGTCCGTACAGAACTAGAACCTTTGGAGCAGGTTTGGAGCTTTTATATATTGCATTATTTGTTTTAATTATCTATAGAATATTTCTTTTTTTTTTCACACAGAAACTGTTAATTTCAAACGTTGTCTGTGCGTTGTTTGATTTGTAACTAGAAAGACTTTAGAAAATACAAGTTTAATCAAACACAAATGAATTCGCTTCAAGTTAAATAATTTGTGAAAATAATATTTGAAAATATGCAAGATGCTTTTACTCTTACAGCAAAAAGTAACTCTGGATATGCAGTCCGACAGTTCAACTCGGTATTTAGTCTGGCTCGGACTTGGCCTGATGGGCGTGCAGTTTGGAGTGCTGGCTAGACTCACATGGTGGGAATATTCTTGGGATATTATGGAGCCGGTCACTTACTTCGTAACTTACGGCACAACGATGATGTGCTATGCCTATTACGTGCTTACAAAACAGGTACTTCTGGTGAAAAAAAAAACCTTTTCTTATTTATCATAACAATAAACGAAATTTTATTTGAAACAGGAACCGAACATGCCGGATGTACGCGATCGCCAGTACCTGATAACTTTCCACAAGAAAGCCAAGAGACACAAATTTGATGTCGATAAATACAATAAAATGAAGGAGGAAATGTATTCCTTAGAGAAAGAATTGTTTAAATTACGTGACCCTCTTATGTTTCATGCGCCACGTAAACCAGATCCTCTGCATTTGCAGGACAATATGCGCGGGCAGGTTCCCGACAATGAATCAGTCGCAAAGGGCGATACTAAAGGAAATAAGTGCTAAGTATGAGAACTTTGGAAATTCAATTATAGTGAACACTCATGAACGGAAAATTTAGATATTTTATTATTTATCTTCAGTTTGTGCCTAAGCCTGCGTTGGTGCCATAAGTTTTGCACTCCCTACTATATTTTTAATATCTTGTTTGAACTGTGCTCCACACATTGTTCTTTTATTGTTTATTTATACATTAAATTAATTATAACCTTATTTTTTTCAGATTATAAATACGACTATTTAAAATTCATCGAGATCAAGACAAAGTACTTAAAATAAAACATAATTGTTTTACCTTTTTCTTGTGCGTTGTGATTTGTGAAAGATTGTAAACAATATGTTTTTAGAGAATTCTTCGTTTATTATGGCGTTACTTTTATATTAGTTATGCCTTGTTAATTATTAATGGCAGTAATATTTTTATTATACATTTTTATAATTATTATTTTATGCTATTGTTCTATTTATTATATAAAATAATTTATTATCTAAACTCGTTTGGTGTCGTTAAGTAAAAAATATGTATGATTAAAGAAATGCTTCAAAATTACCTGATATATTAATGTCGAACGAAAATAAAATTTATTATACTTAGTGAATATTTTAATATTACAGGCGAATGATCGTGATGGAGTTATACAGTTTTTGGCTCATAATCAGCAGTTTTGTAACTGTTGAAACAACAATTTTGCCTTTGAATGACTGTTCTTATATAGAATTTATACGTGAGCTTTCAACATTGTTTAAGCTAGTAGTTAACCCAATCTCAAAATTGCGAAATTATTGCTTCAATTTGATATCTAATAATTTTTAATAGATTTTGTATTTATACATACATTATTCAAATTTCCACAATATATAAAAAGCGTATCAAGGCACCTAATGTCTTCTATATTATTAGTATGCACATATAAAAAAGTTTTATATAGTTTGGTTCCGGATATTTTTTTACGATAATAGATCCGACTAGATATAACGAACAGCTTACATTTTCACGAATTCTTGAACACTTTTCCGGTAGTTAAACATTGTCTTCTTCGAATATCGCGAACATTATAATATATATATATATATATATATATATATATATATATATATGTTTCATATATATATATATATTAATTGATCTGGCGGGAATAACATTTGAATAATTTTTATAAAATATATAAATATAAATAGTCAACGATAATAGCAAACGTTTTAAATAGAAGATAAGTACGGCAAAATGTTAAAAATGCAAATGATGCAAGTGCTATGATTTTAAAATTTCGCGCATGCTCCGTGAAGTGTTGCTGTTGCTGTTACTTAAAAATATCGGAACATCATAATGCAATACAAATAAAACATTTATTATAATAATCTGAATTATTCAATTCAGTCTACTAGTTAAACATAGTCTCTCTGATAATTATTTTAGCAAAGCTGTGTACGACAATTATTTTTTGCCCATGAAATTTAACTGAATTAATTTAATTTATCTGAATTTGTTGTATTTTATATAACCATAATTACTTAGTATAATTAATGAGAATCAGAACGAGCAGTACAGCATTTGAAGAGAATCCATTCTGGACCTAATTTTAATCCAAAATACGATAGTTACGATGTTTTTATGTGATCTATTGTACTTACATAGTATCCATATTTAAATGTGGATTCTGTTTTAACTTACTGTGATAAGAATGATGGTTAAGAAATACTTAATTTTAATTAATATTGTTTTTGAAAATATGAGTTTATCGTATTATGGTGAATGCGTGCATTTTCAGCTTTTTCAGTCAAGTAATTTAGTTCTTTTAGTTATATAAAGTTATATAAATACATGTTACCATTAAACATATTTTAGTAAATTTTATATATAATAGCTAAAATTTTAAACAGATTATTAAAAAAATAAAATGGTAGGTTGTAACTAGATAACTGGCGGCGTTCAATTATAAGAAAATGAGTTTACTCAGTTTTATGGAGTTGGTCAATAACTATTATGAATGTAATATAGATATGTCAACAGATATTTGAACAAATATTATAAACACTGAAAAATATATTATTTTGCCAGTAATGTAGATACAAGCCAACATGTTATATTATTTGATGATCTATCTTATATATTCAAATTTTTATCAATATGAAATTTACTTCCTACAAGAGAAGAATATATTTATATAGGTTTATGTAAAATTTCGGTAAATATAACAATTATCAAACAAATGGTCGTATTATCTATATTCGATTATATGTCAAGTTTCTTTGGTGCTATTTAACTTGCAGGTTTTGCAATTTTTTTTATGAAACTCAACATTTTTCCTTAAGAATATTTTATTATTATTTTTACATGTTCTATATTAAAACGCCTTTTTTTTCATTTCGATTGGTAACTTTTAACGAATTTATTAATTTTTTTTAGTGCTCTGTGAATTTACACATAAGATGATACAGCATTTTGTTGTAATATATATCTAAAGTTTTTAAAATGAAACAAATCTATAAGGTGGCGCAAGTTTGTAATTAAAATTTAAATGAAACAATTAAAGCTTTTTGAACATGAACAGCGGAAGGGAATTAGATTTTTGTATTTGGAGAGCTGAAGTTTGAATTTTATTCATAGGTAAGTAGATGCAGTTATATCGGTGTATATATTAATAATATTTTTAAGAGATATATGTTGAGATAAAATATGTTTCATATATTGTCACCTCATAGCTTTATTGATCGCCACAATTTACTTCTTTCAGGAAGTTCGGAGAAGAACCAACCGCATTTAGCGAAAACCTGATGATTAGTGCAGAACGTGTCTCGTCATTTGACCATACATTTTTGAGAGTGAAGCTCATCAAGCAACAATTGTTAATAAAGCGCAATGTCTCTTAATATTAACCCTTTCGGCTCGGATGCCGCCGCTCCGGCGACAAAATTCATATAAATCTCGGAATTCGCGATTGGAAAGTGTTAATAGTTTTTTTTTAATTTATATTTCTATTTATATTTTATTATATTTATAATTCTATGCATGAAACAATTTCTGGTTTTAACTTCCTCGTTTCGGCGATTAGAATTAATCCTAGGAGATAATCACGTAATTCAACACCATTAAATTCGTATTTATGCATTTTTTATGAGCACAAGAAAAGGATAATTAAATTAGCGATATCCATTTTTACTTGGAAATATAGATCCTTTACAAAAAATGGTCCTTTACGGGCGTTGCTGCACCAAATCGAAAAATATGTAAGCCCTATTACAAAAATTTTAATAATAAAATAATGAAGGTCATAAAAACTTATGACGGAGTGAATTATATGTGCAACCAAAGCGTTAGGGTATATTTTTCCTGGCATTAATTACCTTGGTCATATTTCGGGCCTGCTTGTCCGATTATTAAATTTTATTTCTTAATATCTGAACTAATTTAAAATTTAAACAAAAACACGTTTTATCATCATTTAAAATATATAGTCTAGGACTATTGTTGGTTACCCTTCTACATTTTAATACAATATCAACACAATCATAAAATAAGTGTTGAATTGCACTTAAGTATCGAGTATAATAACAAAAAAAATAGTTCAAGATAAACGATTTATAATAGACGGCAATGTAGCTCATTTATTCATTTCGTGAAATCGTGCGTTATCTGTGCATACGCGTTACATATCAAATGAATATGAATTTTAATTACTATACATTATTATTTGTTTTAATAAGCGCGCCTTACATAAATAGCGGTAAATTGTTATTTTTTTTATAAATTTTGTGATTTTACTTTTTTATGAATTGTTTTTTTTTTTTGTCGTTCTAGCCAAATTCACATGTCTCACGGATGGCGTGAAAAAGGAAACATCTTGTGCAGCAGATTCATGTTTTCTTTTATACAATAAATATAAAGGTAATACAAACATTTTTAAATACAGAAAAAAATTATGGTGATAAAAATACTATGTCATAAATTTAAAATGTTTGAATTAACTATTAAATATTATAATTGTATGGACTTGCGCGTATTGAAGTAGTTAATGCTATAATAGTTTACTACAGCGGTTTCTGACCTGTGGGGCGCGCCTCCTCAGGGGACGACAGGCTATTCTAAGGGGGGCGCGTACATCTGTTTCCGGGATACTATTATCAAAAATAACCCAACATTTTTTGGACCCATATTAAAAAATAAACGAAATAATTAGGTTTTATGAATTATTTATTTTTTTATTATATACTATAAAATACTAATTTTTAACGTACTTAACTTAAAATTCTACTTTTATATTCAAAACTATTTTAAAATGCCTGGTTTTGTAAAATATCGGTTGTTTATTTATTTTTTATTTTTTAAATCTTTAATTTTATTTATAAAATGTATTTATCAAAACTTAAATAAGTTTAATTAATTTAATAGCTTTATTTTAATTTTGATTTTCATACTTTTATTTGCGCTTTCTGACTTTACTAAATGAAAAATGTTTTTCTATTCGTGTGCATGCTTTCTCGTTTGGATTTAGTGTTAAACACAATTTGTGTTGAAACATACCAATAATGCCCTTTAATATTATCTGTTTATTTTCAATGATAATATTGTCAATGATCATATTATTTAGGTTAAAACCGGGACAGTCACTTTTAGTTATGCTAATGCGAATGTAGGGGGGAAGGGTGTTTTTATGCTAAATAACTTAAATCTGATTTAAAGAAACAAATACTATGCAAATACTATTTAAAAGATACAATACAAATCAGTTTTTCTTATAAATATATATTTTTTTACTCAAAATTACTGAATTTTTGTTATTATATCTTATAAATTAATATTAATATTAATATAAATTTGTTATATTAATATTTTTGCGGTTCTAAATTTTGTATAAAATTCTATTCAACTTTCTTTATAATTAACCCTTTGGCACTCTCGAATTGCGAGATTTGCATGTATTTTGCCGCCGGAGCGACGGCATGCAAGTGGTTAACTTTTTAAAAATCAGTATTTGTGCCAGACAGTCAAAAAAATCATTTTCATAATTTTTGATATTTTTATAAAATTGATGATGGTTTGCCATTTTTCATGTGGGAGGTTATTAACTCCCGTAGGGTAAGTTATTGTAATCGTCAAAAAATCGAAATTGATTTTTTTTTATATTTTCACGTTTTGAAGGTTTCTGAACATTTTGGCATACCTGAAGAAAAAATGGATGTGTGTGTATATGTATGTATGGATACAATTTTTTGTCCACGTTTTTGGGCGCACGGATCAACCGATTTGAATGGTTCAAAAAACATTCGATTCCTATTGATAGGGGAATGTGTAATTATCTGATTTCAGGTGTGCGGGAGTATGGTTGCATAATAAAAATTACGCAGAGCCAAAGAAAATACTGTTTCCGTCATCCAGAATTATGCTTTACCTGCGACACGAAAAACTGTAATTCAATGAAACTGATGAAACTATGCCGCGAATGCCTCACAAACGGCCAAGGCGGAGACGAACGTTGCACCACCGACCCAGCAGCACTCGGGAATCGATCGGTCACATTGTGCTACACCGATTGTGCCGCATATAGAGTATTCGGTGAGTGTCATCATATTATCAACAGAACTGGTGGTGCATTGCATGGCATTGTACCTTAGGGCAAATTAGTGGAACTCTCCATATCGTAATTAATCATTAGAGAATATATTATTAGAATCGTATATTCATAAGTGCTTATTTTATTAAATTAGGCAACGAGCGTTTACAAGATATGTAAACATATATGCATTAACAAAATCTAATAGAGCCGAGTTAGAATAAAGGCAATCGATTTTTCGCAAAAAAAATTAATACATTTTTTTTAATATTTTTTAATATTTTATTTTTTTTTAAATATGTTTTCCTTAAAAACTAATAATTTCTTTAGATTCTCATCACAAGCAAAATATTCTTTTGAATCATTCTAATCGGCTTCATACCTACGAAATGGATAGATCTACTTTTCGCAAAAACTAAACAGTACGTCACGCGAATCATTCGAATCGGAAATCGGTCATCTCAAAATTTGCATGAACATTCAAGTTGATTCATACATGTAGATGGAATTTGTTTGATGCGTATAAATGAACTTTAAAAATCAAAAATCCCACAAACAATGGAAACAGAATTAGTACTTATTATTGAAATGTCTATAAAATATCTGATAATTTTATATGCATATGTCTAATAAAAAAAGCAAATTGTCAAAAAAAATATTAAAAAAAATAACAAATCTCAAGAAAATCCAATGTTTTCAAAATTTAAAAGATTTTCAATTATGGTACGGAAAGTTTCAGTAATTTGCCTTAAGTCACGATGCAATATTCAGCACTAGTTTTTTTTTTTCAATTTTATACTTCTCGAGCCTACAAAAGAGTTTGTAATGAATGTGATTGTTAGACTATTAGATGCATTTATCTGCCATAGTAGCCTTGATGAATAATATTTATAGAGAACTGATACTTTATGACAAAATCTGCAAATTTTTTGCCTGCAATTTTCTATTCAATCATTTTGCTCTTTCAATGTTGAAAGTGTATTTTACAAACAAACAATGTCATCGATTACAATATTTAGATCTTATAAAATATATACGAATAATTGAATATCTACGATTATAACTTCTCTTGAAAAATCTGATCATTCCTCGGTGAAATAATTAATGCAATTGTAATAAACTAATTACATAGTATTCATGATTAATACTGTTTTAACTTGACTTTGAATTCGATATTAAATTGACAAAGAAAGTATCGTTTTTGCTTTATAGTATAGTATAGAAGTTATTATTTGACTACGATCACAAATAGAAAGTAAGAGAACCGGTAATTTTTATGTATCATATTCTGCTCGTGAAGATTTGTAAATGGAATATTTCTGTTTGTTATTCAAAAATTTTGCAGATAGATCATTATATTATTTTAATGCTTTTGTAGATGGTTCTAATGTGCGGGGGTGCTTTCCAGAAGGGAGCGTTTGTACTCCTGGCAGTTGCATTCGTTGCTCCGAGGATATGTGTAACGACGTAAAAGTTCCTGAATTTCGTCGAATATGTAACACCAATAGCACAACATCAGAAATTTGCTCTGAAGTCGATGACGCCTGCATGTGCGTTTTGAACTCTGCAGGTAAACTCTATTAACTTCCCGTAGGGTAAGTTATAGTAATCGCAAAAAAATCGAAAATGAAAATTTTTGCATATCTTTACGTTTCAAAGGTTTCTGAACATTTTGGTTATACCTTAGAAAAATGGATTTGTGTTTTTTTTTGTATAGCGAAGGAAATGCCTTTATGCGTCACAGACTGGATGCGTGTGTGTGCGCGCGCGTGTGTGTATGTATGTTTGGAAACAATTTTTCGTGTGTGTACGTATATCTGTATGTATGTTTGGATACAATTTTTGCCTTAAGGCGCGATGCCTTGCATGCACCACTAGTTACTTTATTATTTTATGAAAACCTCAAAACTTTATATTATTTTATTATGATGGATTAGATTATGTTTATTTGTATTTGCAGTACGTACATTTGCATTGTGCATATTATCAACCAAAAATCGGCCCTTGGTTTGTAGAATTATTTGTAAAAAAAATGTTATTTGTAATTTTCTATTTTCAAATTCATTCTATTTAATATTTCTTCAAATTAGAGTAGGAGGGTCAATTTATTGTTGACTATATAAATGTTTGAGACATATCAATATTTTTTTCTATTGAATGATATAAATCAAATTGTCGTGCTCTTCAGTAAATTCGATGATGATTGTATATTTAAGAGATAAAATTATAGTTTTTAATGCAATTTTAAATTTTGTTTGTAAAATATTTGCAATTTCTTATTATTTTGAACAACTTGGTTTGGAGTTTTATCCAAACCAAGAACGTACTAGTTTTAAATAATAAAACAAAACATCTTTTATACTTTTGATATTACAAAATTTCACTGAAAGGTTTTCTTCAAATTTAAATTTTTCTTTGCGTTGTTTGTTTTGTATCTTCTGTGTTTTATTTGTTTTATATTTTCAATTTTAATTAATTATCTTTTTTTATGATTCATACTTTTGCCAGCGTTCAAAAATATTTCTTTTGCTGAATCAATGTACTCGGTCATGCACTCAATGCTATTTGCAACATATTAGTTATATAAGTACTTATAATAAAATCTGATCCTAAAGGTAAACCTGTGACTTGTGGTTGCAAGCAGCGTTTACTAAAAGACGACAAGATACAAAATTTTTGCCAAAAACAAGCACAACGTTGCCATGAATGTACTACGAACAACTGTAATCACAATGATCTTCAAAAAAAGGAGGTTTTTAAGATTTGCGACCAGGAAGACGATATATGTGAGGTGGATCCTTAGAGTTCGATAAATAATTGGCGAACTGTCAGAGAAGGTTGTCGGTGGGTGTATAGATATATATAACCAGAAAAATTGTATCAAGCAAATTAATGTAATATATCAACATGTTGATAAATATAATCATACTGTTTGTCTTATGTTTTTATCATGCTGAATTGAGGATGAGATAAATGATTTCAATTTTGTTTGATAAAAAGTTTTAACTTGTTTTTTATCCTTTTGAGTTGAGTACTTTGGTTTTTTATTTTGCTCAATCAATTATACAGGAGCTACTGGAAGCAAAAATATTACGCGTTTAAACAAGGTGCTAGAGAGATAGATTATCTCTGTTCTAAATCGGAAGAACTTTTTCCTCATTTGTCTATTCGGATGTCTGTTGATCAAACTGATCTGAGCATGTAGCATCTTTATTACTAGGAGTAGGAATGTTTATGATTAAAATTTTAAATTATTTTTGATGATTCTAAATTTATATGGTTTGTTCGAATTTCTAGTTTCAAATTGAGAAACTTCTGAAATCAATTTTGTCCTCTCCCGATGATTAATAATTTAGAATGTATTTTTCTCGTTATTGATTAATTTAATAATATAATTCAATATATAATTTTATTTATTTTTATATAAATAACAAATTTTTGGTAATGGCAAAATTGTGTAGCATATAAATCTAGAAAAGGCTATCTGAAACTTAAACTATATTTCTTTGTAACTTGTGGACTGTGCGTTGATGCAATTGACATCAACAATGGTACATCCGCTAGATCAATTCCTAAGGACGATGTTATCCAAGACACTTCACAAAAATCCGTACTTAATAACATTTCGGCCAGGACTTCAGATTTCAGGTACATATCGAGTAACTTATATTCTATAAATTTTGTACACTGCAAGATAAATTACTTATTATAATATTATATAATGTTGTGATAAATCAATTCATGCCATCTCAAAATAATTTCAAGCGAAATATAAGTGAATAAATTTTATATGAGTCGATGAAAAATGATATAATTTTCATAACAAGAGCTTACGTATTCCGCTGAAACTTTAAGTTTCCACATTTGTTGCACAGCCTCGAGCATATTTGATACAAGTCTAGACATTGCAGTGATGTTTACAGAAATTCCATTTGCAAAAACATAAGTATGCGATGATATTGCCAGAACTTTCCATTTCTCAAGATTTGCAACAATGCTCACACTTTCCGATACATCATCAGCCATAACATTTCCAAGTGTGAGTGCCGTCAAGTCACCACATAAATGCGATTCAAAGTTTTCCGCGCTTATGGTTGTACCCTGCGAGTGTTAAATAATACTATAAATGAATTGTCATAACTCTCTATTGCAAGACATCTCGTGTTTAAATGCAAAAAGAACTAAGTCGTTTATTAAACGTGTAGATGTTATTATCTCCAACAGTTCTGAAACTGATGCTTTTCAATTCACATTGAAAACGCTATTTTTAACATAGCACGATTTGAGTTAACTACAAAATTTAGCAACAATTCAATACCAAAAAATCGACTACTATATAATAATAGAATATAATAAAAAAAGAACTCATCTAAATTGATTTTGTCTCAAATGAATGATTAGATATGGATATGCTATACAATTTTTGTATATTAATTAAAATTAATAAAAAATATAAACTCGTTTTGAATATATGTTCACATATATATGCCCATATACACTACAGAATATTATTATTAATATTACTAATAATATTTATAGTATAGCATATCTTTCTGCCATGAAATGACTATTGATAATTGTATTTATAATCAAGGCATGTTCTTTGCTTTTATCAAATTAGTATATTATAATGAAATATATACTTGTAAAACCATATCTGGCACGTAGTGGTTATTCACGCCTCCAAATAATGATGCAGTAAATCCAGGTTTCAAAACAATACGATTTGGACTAGAACTTACGCGAGTTCTGCAAATAGTTCATAATAAAATATGACGAAATTATTAATAACGAATTAATAAAACTCGATCAAAATGAAACTTACTTCAGCAATGGTAGAATAATCAGTTTCTTAAATAGCCTTGCATCAATATCTTTGCGTGTTTCAACATTATCATTACTTTGCATTTCAAATAATGGCACATAGCATGGTGAGGGTGGTATAGAAATAAGCTCGCTATCTCCAATAGAATTATTTTCAGCCTTATCGTGAGAAAATGAGGAAGAAATTTTTTCATCAAAACGAACATTTTCTATGCTTTCGTCAAACTTATTTCCAGCACATTTCTCTTGGTTCACTTGGTCATTATCATCACCTATGTTATTTTTGGCACACAGAAATTCTCTGTCAACTTGCGGTATTATTTTGTCATCATATTTATTAAACGCAGTTAAATTTTTTTTAATATTTTCATTATCTCCTAAGATGAATTGAACTTTGTTCTCATCATCATTATCAGTACTATCGAAATCCGATGGTAAAGAAGTATATCCCAAACTATTTTTTGTGATCAGAGCAGATAAATTTGGATACTTTTCATTGGTCATACGCGTCAATCCTTTGTTTTTGTAGATATCTTGAGATTGATCAGAATTCCTTTTTTTAATATTATCACATTTACCAGCATTCCTGGATGTCACAATGCTTTGGAAATTTGTTTCAAACGCGTTCTTCGACGATGATAAGCTATCACTTAACTTCCTTTTAACATATTCTTGAGCAGCATTTTTATTTGACGTTAGGTAATATAAAATAGTCCTACTTTGGTTTTTGGATAAACCAAGATATGTGTAATTTTGATTACCAAAAGAGTTTGAATCAATTGAGGGGTTTTGGTTGTCTGAACATGAAAATGAGTTATTTTCGTTTTGCGCCTGTTTTGAATTAATATATTGCCAAGTTTGATCATGTAAGGAACTGCAGATTCTTAAATTAAATAAACTGTCTTTGCTTCGTAGTCCACACCGAGGTTCGCACAATCCAGAATTAACTGTTAGAAAATTTTCACTTTTATCAACTATTTGGTCTGTATTATATTCACTCGCACAATCAGTGTTTAACTGTTTATCGTAAAACGAACAAACATTACTAGTACAACAATCACCATTATCACTCACATAATTCATAATCACATCTAGCAAACCACTTTCAAAAATTGGTTCATAAAATGCTTTACGTATTTTATTACTTCGAATGAAATACGTTAATACTGTTACGATTTCGTTCAAAACATTACTGTCAGAACAACTAACTATAGTTTTACATAATTTAATTGGAAAACCGTTCAATCCGTACAGATCAACCAGTTGAGCCCATAGTGCATTTTGTGAACACCTGTTGCAATTATCCCTCGCGCTCGTGCAGCACTTCAGCCCCGCTCGGTCCAATTTTGATTTGCACACCCTGTACGGAGCTACGGTTGTTATCCATCCTAAATGATGCGTCAACGTGGCAGTAATGAGGGTACTTAAAAAACTAAAAGAACACAATTGATCTTGATTTCGAAATAACAATTTAGTATATTCGTATGTTTCTAACAGCAAGCTATTTTGATTCGCTATAATTGTCAATATAATATTACATATAGGCTACTTACAAATTAGATCCCTTGGTATCAAAAATTACCAACAACTTGTGTAGTCTGTCAATGAAATTGCGGGACATATCTTCATGACCATAATTAAATGAACTCATGCCGTTTTTAGCAGAACCATTGTCAGATTTTGCTAAGGAAATCCAAAAGGGTTTTGTGATGATTGGACCGCGAAACAAGTCATAAATAAATTGTGTTGCGGTTTCGAAACCTTTTATTATTGCAGAAAAAAATGATGATTTTTCAATATATGCTTGAGTTACCATCGTTCTCAAGCGATTCATCATAGATTCTATGAGAGGAATGTGTTCCATATAATAATGCTGCATTTCACTGCAATAAATTATATGATTATATAATTTTATATACTTTTTTATATATTTGTGGTCAATACATCGGCTCTGCTGTTGGATTAATCGTATTATTACCTTTCAAGAGCTTCTGTTAATGTAACACATACGGCCAGTCCCAACTTCGTATGCTTGCCATCTGCGCTCTTCATTAGTAAACCATCTAAAATTTAATGAAGAATCTGTATAAACAGAAGAACTTAAATTCAATCAAATGTCATTTAAATATATTGCTTTAAAATTACCTAGTGCATTTGCTGAGTTATCACTATTTGTAAATGTAGTTGAAAAATTACGTGTTATTCTTTTTTGCGAACTCATTCTACTTGATCCGCTACTATATGTAACAAAAGAAAAATCTAAAACGATAATATAATAAAAAATTCATGATTTCCCACAAAATAAATTAAGATATAGTTATGATAATAATTACTGAAATATCAGCTTACTGTTTTCAGAGATACTACTTCTAGATGTAATATTTTCTGAACTTCTTGATGACGCATTATAACCTGAGTCTATACTACTTTCAGCCAAAGCGCTACTGACCGTCGTACATGTACTGTATTGATATACCAATGGTGAAGTTGTCACTAAAACAAAGAGAATCTAAATACATATTGTATTTTTCATTTTTATTTTACGTGTTAATATTGTAACGATATAATTGGTGTTATTTCAAGAAAATATTCCAGAAAACTCCTACATCAAATACCAATTGTATCTGCAGAGTTGAGTGAACATTCCAAAGAAGAACCTGAAGGACCGATGGAATGATCTGGTGCCCGTTCTAGTGTAGATACTAATGGAGTTGCTAGTGGAGATAGGAATGCTTCAGTGCAGAGCAGTCGAGCAGGACTAGAAAGCCAATGTATCTAAATAATTAAACGGTATAAAGATTAAGTATTCATCATTATACTTGACACGTTATACCGCCAAAATGCAAAATAGATAAAAATACTGAGCATAGTTTCAGATAACCATTGATTTGCATATAGATAGAGCAGCAAGTAAAGCCGTTTGAAGAGAAATTAATACCAGTGTGAGAACAATATTTAGGTAACCGTTACACAGTAGATATATAGCACCGGTATTGAACTATTTAAAAGAATATGAGAAGTTTTGAGCATCTTCAATGTAAAACTTTCTGGATTCAATAAGTTGAAAATTACTGATCATATTACCCGGAGAATAACTAAGCATCATCGCTTTTTGGATAGGAATTGTTACAGTTAAACTTGTATAAACTTTTCAAAGTAAAACTCTGAACACGCTGCAGGAGATAATTGATGATGTTTCAAGCTTTATTGTGAAGATTTATTGAATTTTTCAATTAATTAATATATTTATCTTCGCCAAAAACTGCATTTGGCTTCGCCCTATATTTAAGTTATTCATAAAGCACATCGAAAAATGTATAAAATTATTGGTTCAAGATGGAGCAATCGTGCATTCTAGGACAAATATCTGGTATAGGTCTACGAAATTGCATATAGTGCATGCATTTCAGACCTATTATGAATTATTTCATACCTTTAGCGATGTTCCTCGGTATGCCATAGCAACTGTTCCAAATATCAAGTCACCGATAGTCATTGTGTCTGGATTTTTTTTCAGAAGCTGAAAATGATATCTTTCTCAAGAAAACAAGTAATGGTACATACAAACACTTGCACATATTCATAATTGCGAAAGTATTTGTAAATAAGAGAAAAGTAATTAAAATATTATCAACACACATTATACCCAAATCCATCTAGAACTTCAGTAAAGTGATTTTTTGATTTTGTATTAATGGTCCCAGTCAAAGCAACCTTGCGCATGGCAGTGGAATCAAATAATAATTTTCTACCTCTCCAATCACATTCTCTGTACAGTAGAACACGAACTTGCTCTTTGGAAAACGGGAATGGTTTGCAACTAAATCATATTAACTTATTATAGTAAATATATATATATATATATATATATCATCAAAATTATATTATAAAATCCATTCGTTTCGGCTATAGTTCTAGCGTTCTAAAAAGCTATTTTTTTGCTCATTATACATGTTATCAATAGCCATGCAATTTTATCAAAAATAGTGTTTTAAAAGAAAAAAAGTATTTACAAATCTATCCTAATATTAACTAGCTGGAAGTGGAATTCTGTCTTGAGGCAATTATGGCATCGTGCCTTAAGGCAAATTGCTGGAACTTCCCGTACCGTAACAAAATGTTCGAGGAATACTGAATGTTTTCAAATAGATTATTATAAATATTGTAACATTGTGTAATATTTATAAGAATTATATAAACTGAATTGCAAAATTGAAATTATTTGTAAAGTATATTAGAACTATAGTCAGAATTAAATATAAAATCTGAAATATTTTCGATATACAAAAAACTACAAAAAAAAAAAAAAAATTGGAACAAATTTTTTTTTCCAAAATCAATTATTTTGTTAAGACAAGCAGAAAGTTTTTTGAATCATTTAAATCGGACGCTTAGTTCTCTCAAAAACTGCCATTTTTTACATATTTAGCTCCGTATCTTCAAAATGGCTGGGCTTGCCTTTGCCAACAACTAATAAACACTTCTCCCAATCATTACTAATTGAATGTTTTTTAGATCATTCAAATCGGATACTCCGTTCTCTCAAAAATTCGATTTCTATTTTCTGCACTCTTTGCTCCGTATCTCCGAAACGGCTCGACCTGCCTTTGCCAAAAACTAATCAGCTCTTTTCCCTATCAATAGGAATCGAATGTTTTCTGAACCATTCAAATCGGTTGATCCGTACGCCCGAAAACGTGGGCGAAAATTTGTATCCATACATACATACACACACATTTTTTCTGAAGTATGCCAAAATGTTCATAAACGTTCAAAACGTCGAGAAATGTAAAAATTTTCAATTCCGATTTTCGGCCCATTACAATAACTTACCCTACGGGAAGTTAAAAATAAAGTTAACGATGATTTATGGTATTATGAGGATATGGTGTAACACTACACTACGTAATAAGAACATTGAAATTGTTGTATTTAAATAAATATTGATCACAATTTAACTAATAAAATTTTTAATTGTTTAATCTGTGAAAACATGTTTTTTTAAGAAGAGCACAAATATTTTTATTACTTAAGCTTCAAATCACAATCCAAAACGAACTCTTCGTATCGCAAAGGGATGTAATTATCATTGAGTATATTTATTACTTTTTTGTTATAAAATTGAATGAAACATCTTTCAGAAATGTCTTTTGAATATTTTTTCTTCAAAATGAGAAATAGTTGGTTGTTAATTAGTCGTGTAATTTAATTTTTCGGGTAAAAATGTTTATTTTTAACTTCCCGTAGGCTAAGTTATTGTAATCGTCCAAAAATCAAAAATGAAAATTTTTACAATTCTTCACTTTTTGGAGGTTTCTGAACATACCTCAGAAAAAATGGATGTGTGTGTATGTATGGATACAATTTTTCGTCCACGTTTTCGGGCGCACGGATTAAACGATTTGAATGGTTAAAAAAAAACATTTGATTCTCATCGATAGGGAGATGTGCTGATTGGTTTTTGGCAAAGGCAGATACAGCCGTTATGGAGATAAGGAGCAAAGAGTGCAGAAAATAGAAATAGAGTTTTTGAGAGAACAGAACATCCGATTTAAATGATCCAAGAAACATTCAATTCATATTGTCGGGTAGAAATGATGATTAGTTTTTAGCAAAGGCAGGCCCAGCCGTTTTGGAGATATCGAGCTAAATGTGCATGAAAATGGCAGTTTTTGGTTAAAGTTCTAAAGATCACTTATATAGTCTAAATAAATAATTTTAACTTTGTAATTTAGTTTATAAAATTTTTATAAATATTAGACAATGTTACAGTATTTATAACAATTTATTTGAAAACATTTAATAATCCTCAAAGATTTTGTTACGGTACGAGAAGTACCAGCAATTTGCCTTAAGGCACGATGCCATACACCACTAGTTGTATATTGTATTTTATTGTGTTCAATAAGCCTGATTATTAATTTTGTAATTGTTGCTGAGTGTTTAATTAAATTTTGGCTTTAATTTTTTTGGAGTTTTTTGAATGTTGTGACCATATTATTTATATTATTCCTCATAGATACTGTTTTTTTTCTCAATGTTACTGTTTATAGTATAATTAAAATGAAGGTGATACAAATAAGATGAGTTAGGTAATCACATCTAGATTTTATTTAAATAATTTTACTACAAAACAAAGTTCAAAATATATAATTGAACCTAATATTACTTCAGTAGACTTAATAATTGTCGTTATCGAAATTAATCTATATTTATGTTCTATTAATACAGAAAGACGTTTTTTTATCGATCGAATATTTATCGGTGGGTATAGTATCCATCACCGTATCTTTGTTTTGTAAACAATAATAAGTTCTAAATGATTATAAAAATTATGTCATAATTATGACAAAAGAGGAGGAAAGAAAAATTTTCAAAAAGACGAGTCTGAATTTAATTTCATTATGTACTCATTGCGTACATGTAAAAATTTCAATTTCTAAAATATTGATATTAACTGCTTTCAACATGTTTTAAATTGTTGTACTTAAAAGAATAAAAGTTACTGTTATATAGGAATAAAAGTATTTATTGCTTTATTAACTATTACTCAATTAGATAAAAAATATCGTGGTAAACATCATCGATATCTACAGTAGTCTATAGTAGAAATAATAAAATAATTAATAGGTAAAGTAAAACCGAGAATTTGCTTTCTATATGTCCATGATTCAGTAAATCTCATAAATTAACTTTTATTCTTTATATATTTTTAAATTGCAGATAGAAGGTTTTTGCCACCATAAGTACTACCCATACAATGAAATTTTAATTTCCGCTTACAAGGAAAAGCACATCATTAATCTAACGCATAATTCATGCGTAATATTTAAAATCGTCCAGTTCCTTGGCGGGGTCCAAATGTACAAAATTGTTTGAGGCTTTTTGGTAAGATAAAGAATTTTCATAAAATAAAAACTGCATAAAATTGCACGCTCTGCATAATTGATACCGTAGACTACGCCAATGTATATTTGCAATTCGTGCATAGACCTTATAATACTTTGGTATATTTACTATCGCCTACAATACATATTTTAATATGTATTATAATATAGCACTATTAATGATATGAAAATATATTATCAACTTCCCGTAGGGTAAGTTATAGTAATTGTAAAAAAATCGAAAATGAAAATTTTTATATATCTTTTCGTTTCAAAGCTTTCTGAACATTTTAGTATATCTTAAAAAAAATTATGTGTGTGTGCGGATACATTTTTTTGTCGATGATTTCGAGAACACGGATCAGCTGATTTGAATGATTCAAAAAATATTCGATTCCTATTGATGAGGAAACGTGCTGATTAGTTTTTGGCCAAGGCAGGTCCAGCCGTTTCGACAATGCGGGGCAAAAAGTGCCAGAAATGGGAATTAAGCGTTTGAGAGAAGGAGCGTCCGATTTGAATAATTCAAAAAACATTTCATTTGTATTGATGAAATGAAAAACTGAACAAATGTTTGGGAAGGCAAGTCTAGCGGTTTTCTAGATCCAATAAAAAAATAAAAAAAATGCAATTGGGCAGTCAAAAATGATCATTAGGCATATGTGCATCAAATTATCAGATATTTTATAGAGATTTTAATAATTAAGTACCATTTTTTTATATTTCTATATAACCATGTTTATCCGTTAGACTGCGACGCGGCGATTCCGCGCTCCGACTAAAACGTCGTCTAAACGCAACCTAACGCAGCGCAATTGCTTTGAAAAAAGTTCAAAGTTTTAAAAAATTCAAAATATTAAAACATGTTTCGAATTTTTAAATCATTTTTTTCAGAATTTTCAAAAATCTAATTTTCTCAAAGTTTTCAAACAATTTTAAAGTTTTCTTAAAAACTTCGATTTTTTGGGACGGGAAGTTCTAGCAATTTGCCATTACTAGTAAATGTACATTATCTAAAAGTTGTATTGCTGGTTTATCAAGACTGCTCAATTATCAAATTGGCACACGCGACAGCCTAAAGTTTCATGAAAATGTATTCCAATTTTTTATCAAAACAAAATTTATTATCACCTGTTGCAATTCAGATTTGCTATATTACTGTTTAGTATATTTCATAAATACTATGTAGCCTGTATATATATATATATTGTCATTTAAGTGTCGGTATATATTGGATTTTATTAAGAATTTTATTTATTAAACTAAACTATTAACATATGTTGCAGATAAGTAGTCGGAGTTTCAGACTCTAGTTTAATTGATAATAATAATTATTATTTGATAGATAATTCGAAATTGAATTAAAAACGTCAGCGGCCTAATATATGTGCAATTCTTGCCTGTTCCAAGCATAGGTGAGCGATACATTAGTGTAAACTAATACACATACGTGAATATTGAATTTATAGATTATCAGAACAAAAGCGCTTTGTTAAAAATATTAGTGCCCAATATGAAACAATGTTAAACATCGTTAGTAATTTTAGACAAATTTATATATAATATTAAACTACCTGATATTCGTATGTGTGTGCTTAAAACTTTGTTTCTTTTTCGCCGTAAATAATTTATTCAATAAATCCATTACTTTATTAGAAAATATAAAATTGCCACAGCATTTTGAAGTAAGCACAAGAAATATTTAAGCAACTCGTGCAATTACTGTTACGAAAAACAAAATTGTAAATATTTTCTTAATATCACGTGCATGATAAAGTCATATGACTTAAATATCGAGAGAATGACGCGAGATGAAAGAAACGCGCAGACTTTACGAAACATAAGAACTTCTTGCTCCATATTGGCAAAATATAAATATTTCTATCTAAAGCAATTCAGAAAGAAATAAAAGCTCGAAGTATATAATCTTATTTATGACCACTAATAATTTAACTATAGTTAATTATAGTCTACAGTCATTTCAATTGCAGTTTGACATTTGTGACCATGGCTTGGCATGCCATAGATATATCTCATGTTTCTAGGACGCGATCTCATGATCCCAGTCATTCCTAGTTCAGTTATCATTTAATCCGCGAGCGCGAGCGCGGACGCGGGCGCAACACATTTCATTTGTGCACACTTCACGCGTTAAAACTGAAAATTTGGTTTTTGAAAATAGTTTAAAGATATTTGTTAATTAATGCAATGTTCGAGTACGTAGTATATGCATTTCCAGTTTAAGCCGTGATTGGTGGCACATGAGTGGCAACCTAGACAATATTAGAATACGATGTGTTAATGGGTGGCACTTAACAGAACGAAACAGATTTAACTACCTAGTCTTTACCTAGAAAAATTTACAGTCACCAACGTGTGAAAAAAGAACTTTATTAACCCTCCGTCGGTCGGATATTTTTACACCTTCGAACGGTCGGAAAGGTCTGGCTGGACCACCATTCATTTTGCATGCATTTATATGGGATAAATGAGTTTTTGGTGTCTTATATATTAACGATTATTAGTAGTAAATACTTATAGTTTCCGTTTTTGTTAATTTTTCTGTTTTATATCAAAGAAAAAAATATTTATTCTTTTTCGGCGCCTTTGAAATGAGTGTGAAATTCAAATGAAAACGAAATGAGGTGCGTCGCCTTTGAAATGAGCTTTGCCAAAAAAAAAAATTTCGAACGCAGTACGGGTAGAAAATTTTTTGATAATATGTGCATTACTTATCCGATTTTCAGTGTTTGCGATTACCAATAAGTTTGGTAGGTTTTCAAGGAACTCTCGTCATGAAAATACTAACATTCATGTTACAACACATAGCAAAGAACATATACAACCATAGATAAACAAGTATACAACGCAGTTTGAATAGAAAATACCATGAAAAAAGACAAAATACTGGTTTACATATATCAAAAAGCGTATATTTCATACAAAATGTATGGGTGGTCTGGACAGACCTTTCCGACCGTTCTAAGTATAAAAAAGTTAATATCTTTATAATTATCCTTCTGTACATTTTTTCGTCCTGATTTTTTCAATGATCGACAGCTAATGGAAATTTAGGAAAAGTCAAGAAATTTCAAGTCGATACGATTACTAGAAGTATTTTTTTTTTGTTAATTGAAGTCGAAAAAAGTCTGGCCAGACCACGCCGACCGACGGAGGGTTAATAAAGCTTTTTTTCACACGTTGGTGACTGCAAAAATGTCATTGGAAACCACTTTGCTTTATAAAATTCTTTAAAGCAAAGTGGTTTCCAATGACATTTTTTTTATAATTTCAGTTTAAAAAAAAAATTGCACGATTTATAAAAGTTCATACCTAAAAAATAAAAATGGTGTTGATCGAAATTCCGATTTAAATCACTTACAAAGGATGAAACTCAAGAAGTTTAAAAAAAGTTTCAAATTTATTTCATGTGAACCAGTAAATTTTCAATTTAGTTAAAATTATTATGAATAAGATCAAATTTGTATTCACTATAATTCTAAATTTTATGACGCTTATCTTAACGCAAAATGGTACAAAAATTTGCAAAATATAAAAATAAGAGTGCCTCAACACTTCCACAGGCCAAAGTATGAATTATAGTTAAGTAAACATATAAATAATTGCAAACTTGCATACAAAAACATAAAAATTGTATTTTCTTTCTTAAATTAGTAGATACTGATGGTCAGCTGGTCAGGAAAAAATTCCAATTGCAAAACAATTCGCTAGGTTTTTGTTTGTCAAATATTTTAAATTATTGTACTTTATTTAATAATAAGAGGTTAATATACAAAATACCACACTATTACTTAATTATCAATGTGGTATTTCGTTTTGATGTAAAAGCATTTTAAACTGATTTACAAGAGGGAGTTAACGATGAAAAAAAATCTATTAAGTTCTCGTTCGCTGATTATTACTCTGTATATTTTAATATAGAAAACATAATTTTGTAGAGCAATTTGGGATTTTTAGGAGCCACTTTTACTTTATAACTGCCGACTTGAAATATTTCAGTATAAGCGTAACAACATTTTGACCCGCGCACGTCAATTTGTGTCGGTTAGTACCGTTATGTGATAATTTTGTATAAGTACGGTTAAGAAAATTTAGGTCAAAATCATAAAAATGCAAAGACATCAGATTTTTTTAGTTGCGTATATTATAGTTTTAATAATTTATATAGTTTTATATATTGACCCAGTCTACTGTGATAGGCCACGCCCACTTAAATTTCTGCTAGAAAATAAACTGCTATCTTTGTGACGTACCATACACGTACCTTCAACCTATGACGAGAACCACTGATAATGAATCTGACGTTGACATTTCATTTGTTGTTGAAGTACAAATGTGTACAAATAGTTTTGGTTTGTGAATAACATCTTATGCGCAGTTATTGGCTCTAGATTTTTTTAATTCTGTGAGCAATGAACATTTCAATTGGAAAGAAGATTTAGAGTACTATATGGAACCTTACGTATTTATTAAATTAATTGAAGTCACCTAGTAATCCAAAATTGTTTCTGATGTTAAAATACAGTTGTATTATCGGTTGCTTATTTTGTGATTGATCTTATGATTATACAGATTCCAACGCAACTGAATTTCTCATTTTCTCTCAAATTTATTAGAAATATTTTAGTGTTATATGTGAAATATAACATGTTTTAAAGATCTGGAATGTCTGACAATACGGTAGTCAATTGGTCCGAAAAAGATGTAATAGAGTGGTTGAAATATAAAAAATTAGCTGATGAATTATTGCTATTATTTAGGAATCATCAAATAGATGGTAAAACTCTTTTATGTTTAAATGATTATGATTTTCGTAGTTCGCCTTTTAGTGATCTTAGGGTATCAACAAGGAAAAAGTTACAATTAAATGTTAAGTGTTTGCAACGTGAAAATCATGCCAGTTTAGTAGCTCTAGGTATAATTGAACCAAATTGCATTGGAGTCAATTCAATAGGATTAACTTATGATAGTCATCGTTTGTCTCATGAGGAAAGTGAATCCTACCCTGATAGTGAGAGAATATCACCGCCCGTTTCAATCGATGGCAGATCAACTGAGTTAAAGCCAGAAATATGGAAAGCTGGTCTAAGTATAGGTAATTTTGCATAAGTACCCTTCATTTAAACTCATTAATTTATGGTATTATTTATAGAAACCTTTATTAGAGCTTGATAAACATGTTAACTATAACATTTGATAAGGTACATAAATGGTGACCATTCTAACATAATTAGTTTGCATTTCCAGAATAGATTATCGACAAATAGTTTTTTATATGACATCCTATATTTAATTGTAATTTGATATTTGATTTAAATCTGCAAATGTATTTTAGCATATGCCTTTCTGGTGATGTGGCTAACATCGCTGGTGATGGTTCTGGTTCATGATAGAGTGCCAGACATGAAGATCTATCCTCCACTGCCTGATATAGTTTTAGATAACGTGCCACACATACCATTAGCATTTGCGCTATGTGAGTTGTTAGGTGCAATACTTGCAGTAATATGGCTCTTTGTGTTGCTTCTTCATAGACACAGGTAATTAATGAATACTATATACAATACAATACAAATTACTTTAAAATTAACACTAAATACATTAGTTATTAATAATATACATAACATAGATAACATAATCATTGCTATTCAAGCATTTATAGTTTATGATATTTGTGAAAATTGAATTTCATTAAAATATTATATTGTAGGATGATACTCCTTAGAAGATTTTTTGCGCTTGCAGGAACAGTATTTTTATTACGTTGCGTAACAATGTTAATCACTTCTTTGAGTGTTCCTGGTACACACTTGAAATGTCAACCCAGAGACCCCAAAGAAAACACTGCATATGGGTATGTTAATAGAGATAAAAACTCTATGATTTAGCAAAATGTTGTACAATAATGTGTAGTATAAAGTGAGCTTATATGAAAAGTCATATATAGAATAATTGTGAGAAAATATATAAGGCACATTTATTAATTTAATAATGTTGTATTTCTGCATTCATACTTTATTCATTAACTTGTTTGAAAGTTTTTTTTAACAAAACTCAAGATAAACACAAAATAAAAATAAATACACATTTACATTATTCTTATTTTTTTATATTACTTAATTAGAAATTGAAAATATAATGAAGAGTTATTTATTATATCTAAATTAAAATTGTAGGTTCTATGATGAACTCTTAGATAAAATGTCGAGAGCATTTGTGATTTGGCGTGGAGGCGGTCTTTCAATTCGTGGGGTTCGAACATGTGGTGACTACATGTTTAGTGGACATACAGTAGCACTTACACTACTCAATTTTTTTATTACTGAATGTGAGTATATTCTTCATTATTTACAAATTTGTAATTAACACCTAGTTCTGCCACTGTCTACTGTGCCATTGTCCATTGTTCTACTACCAAAATATAAACATAAGTATCTTATATAAACATCACACTAATAGAAGAAAATAATAATGAACTGATATTGATTTTAAATATTAAAACTAAATATGAGTTCACATACTTTACTCTACTGCAGTTGTGTACAATATTTATTGAATGGCTTGCTGAATTTTTTTTTGTAAAAAGTGGTAATAATATTGTAAATCTATTTTAGACATAGTGCCTTTCAATGAATTAACTTGTTTTTTTTTTTTTTTTTTTTTTAGATATTTTATTTTTAAATTATAAAACTATTTTGCAATGTTATTGCATAACTGTTCATTATATACTGTGTTGAATCTTAAAATTTAATTTTTAATTTGAAAATTTGCTTTATTTGACTTAAATACATACATTGAATGCTGTGTTGAATCTTACTTAAATCATGTTTGGACAGATACAAATTCAAACTATCTTCACATTGTGACTTGGATCATGAACCTGTTTGGAATATTTTTCATATTAGCAGCACATGAACACTACTCCATTGATGTCTTCATTGCTTTCTACATAACATCACGCTTGTTTCTTTACTATCATACATTGGCAAATAACCAGGCACTAATGCAGAGAGATTCAAACCGAACAAGGATTTGGTTTCCCCTTTTTAGCTATTTTGAAAGCTCAGTTGATGGAATAGTACCTAATGAATATACTAGTATATATGAAATGATAACTGATTTTTATTACTGGTATGTCGAGAAGCAATTTTTATGCATTGTGAATATCAAACGTATTTTTAGAACTATAATGATTCATTCTCAAACGCCTACTGACAGAAGTGTAACTACTGAGGATGTAAATCAAATTAACGTTTCCACAAAAAAAACTCTTTGACTTTTTTAGTTGGATTTAGCGAAATATTATATAAAGTGATGGAGAGTGGTTGGATGAACTTATAAATTTAAGACTCATATTTTTATAATAGTTTAATTTATTTATCACTGTTAATTAAATAAATACATGTAGCCCATGTAATATATATATATATATATATATATATATATATATATAATAAAGTTTTGTATAAATATATTGAATTTATCTAATAGCATAAAAAGATTTTTCTAATTGTACTTAGTCATATTTTAAGTAATCTTGAATCTTTTCATACATTATTTTCCATTACCTTGTTGTCCGATGTAGCATGAAATATTGTCAAATAATATTTTGAATAAAATTAAAGAAATAGACTTCTATCTGCAAAAGAAATTATACACGTAATCATAAATTTGCATTTAAATATTGATAACTATACTTAATTTCTATGCACTTTCTTTTCTTTCCATCCACTTTTGCTTTTGTAATATACATTTTTCATAATTTTTTAGTGTTATTATTTATTTGTTTAATACAAATATATGCTATGGATAAATATTATTTTTTGTATTTGCTCGTGTAAACAAGGATTTCAAGATTCTGTACTAAATTGGATTAAAATTGTTAATTTATTATGTTTAATTGTTTATAATGTAATGTTTTTTTTTTTAATTACATTTCCATATGTTATGCCCAATTATAGTATTTTGTTAAGTTCCTTTGTAAAGATCTAGTAGGGCTGCATCATGATTGATCTATTTGCTGATCAATTTATTCAGTTGACTTTTATTTTTCACTGTGAATTGTATTTCAAAATAAGATTATTTATTGTTTTGATATTTCATATCATTTTGTAATTAAAGTTGATTTATTTAATTCACTTTAACTGATATTTAATTGTTTCATTTAAGTTCGAATAACTATATTCTGCAATGAATGTACATGCCAATTTATCAGCTGTGTTCGAAGTTACAAAATATAGTATATTATCATAATTCATTCTAATTTTTTTGCCAATTCAATAAGGTGTTCAAGAGAAAATTTAAATTATTAATCATAGTGCTATATTTAAATGTCTTGTTCATCATTTTAAATTTTAGAGATCAGAAAGCATCACTTTCTTCTTATTTCTTTGGAAAGAAAATAGTTTTCTGTGAAATGTTGCTTTTGATAAAGTTTTTTTTTTGTCTTCAATTCCCACTAATTAAATGAAGCCATTGTTTTGAATAATCAAATAATGTTGTATTAAAAGTTATCACTTTTTTTATTTGCAACATGTAAAATCTTTGAATCTTGTATAATACATAGTGGGTGCATTCGACTTGGACGCTTACGCGCTGTGAGCGCTCACGCTTATAAGCACGAATTTTTAGCGTTCGACTTGGCCGATAAGCGCTCAGAATCGATAACTAAATTCCGTTCGTTTTGGAAACTGTGAGCGTCAATAAGCATCAAAATGGCGGCAACTGGCGGTAACGGTAATCGTGTAAATTTTATTACTTTCTGGATCATTCAGCGGGATTATAAAGAATTTAACAATTAATAAATAAATGAAATTTGGTTTACTTATGCTTAATTTATATTAATATTAAAATTAAAATTTAAAATTATTTAAAATTAATTAAATTTAAAATTAATTAATATTAATATCAATATTAAAAAATAATTGTGATATACAACTTGGCAAATTTGCGGGATTATAAAGAATTTAACAATTAATGAATAAATGAAATTTGGTTAGCTTATGCTTAATTAATAGTAATATTAAAATTGAAATTTAAAATTATTTAAAATTAATTAATATTAATATTAAAAAATAATTGTGATATACAACTTGGCATTTTTGCGGGATTATAAAAAAATTAACAATTAATAAATAAATAAAATTTGGTTAGCTTATGCTTAATTAATAGTAATAATAAAATTGAAATTTAAAATTAATTAAATTTAAAATTAATTAATATCAATATTAATATTAAAAAATAATTGTGATCTACAGCTTGCAATTTTTGCGGAATTATAAAGAATTTGACAATTAATAAACAAATGAAATGACAGATAGTAAAAACAACTGACGCTCACGCTCACGCTGCCCTACCTCTGTGGCGTGAGCGTATGTGAGCGCAAAATATGTGCTACGAGCATCCTACGATGATGCTACGAGCGTGCTTATGTGACACTCACAGCGCCAAGTCGAACGATGAAAGCGCGCTCACGACGCGCTCACAGCGCGTAAGCGTCCAAGTCGAATGCACCCAGTGTGTGGATATAATACTATTTTTTGTGATAAACTGATGTGTACCTTAAAAAAATATCCATAAATTTAACATATAATATGTGCCTATTATTGGAGAAAGATGTGCATATGCCGATTTTGTAACTATTTTATACATAGAATAAAAATTACTGGCTGTAATATAAATATATCTATAATGTATATATACATCATGCTTGTATAAAAGTTAAATGTAAGTATAAATAATCCGTTTTCTACTTACTGTCCGGTTACAATTTACTTTCGAATTTGAAAAAAAAGTCGGATACTATTTAAAATCACTAAACTAAAAAAAAATCACTTGTCCACTTGTACTACCAGCTGTCAGTCAACGACGGTTTGACAATCTTCGTATGCAAAGATTGGTGTGCATGGATGTCAGTACATGTCAGTAGAACTGTAATATGTTAATGTCATTTAATGTGTTCTTTTTCTGTTTGTATAATAATAGAATATGGTTATAAAAGATATAAACAAAACATTCATTTTTGAAGACCATCTAAAGTTCATAGTATGTATATAGAGAGAAGTACATATTTTTGACAGTATTCATTCTACATAGATTAGTGTATATAAGATATGAGAAATAGACGCTAATATTCAAATGCACCCGCACTTTATATTTATCGAAATACGTACTAATGTATGCTTATGATTTTAGCGGCTTAGCGATATAAAACAACTTGCAACTGACAGCTGTTAGTGTTGGATGAGCTTGAATATATTAATTTGTAATCTACCATAGTGACAACTTTTATTGTGGTCATTCATGAAAGCAAGATCTAAAAATATTATACTCAACAAAATCCTAGCATTTAGTATGACAATCAAATATGGGTTTGGATTTTGATGTCATTGAATTTTGTAAAAAACTTCGTTTAGAAAGGCCTCCTCCTTATAAATGCCCTGTAGAAAATTGTGACAAAAGTTACAAATCAATATGTGGAATGCAATATCATCTTGTAAATTATGATCACGATAAACCAGCACCTCAAACTCCAGTCATGACGCTGAAAAAAAAGGGTTGGTAATCTTTATTTTAAATCAACTTGGATTTTTGATTTTATATTCAACTTAATATATGTTTTTAGGTCGTACTAGTAGACCTGCAACTAAAACATCGGATTTAACAAAAAGTCCTCCAAAAGAAGTTTTGTCTTACGCTGAATCTCAAAGATATGTACAATTTGAAATAGATGGTAATATAGCAAAAATTGCTTTGGATGATCCGATTATTAGCATTGAAAAGGATTCTGATTTATTGAAAGGTTTTTATAAATATTAATGTTTGGGTATGATTATTATTAAATATAAATAGTATTTCTTTTAATATGGGAGTGACATATTTATGATAGGTAAATGCAATGTAGTTGAAAATCCAGAACCAGTTTTCTCTCTTCCTGAACCCACATATCGTCTTGTAACTGATTATAATATCTGTGATGCTCCTCCGAGACCAAATGCTTACATTAGATTCATAGAAAAGTCAACTGAAGAACTTGATGGTGAGGTATGTGATATGCATTTTTAATATTGTGATCAGTTCAAAATAGAAAAATGAACAGTTTTATTAAGTAAAAAGTTTACAAAGATTATAAAATTATTTCAAATTTGTACAAAGTTGAGTATTTCATTTGAGATAAACTTCTCAAATCCTTAAAGACTAATACATAGTTTAAAAGGATAATGGTTATTCTAATCGACTGTTTAAATATATGTATACCAAAGAAAAAAAAAATGTATATGGCAAGTATGTATCAGCATTAAAGTAATATCTTTGTAATTTCTTAATCAGAACTGGCATTTTAGGTTAGTGTTTTTTTTTATATTATATGTGGTTGAAATAAGATTAATTTGAATGATTATAATTATTATGGGTCTTTATTATAATAAACAAATGCTTAAATAATCAAATTTTATTAAATTGTTGTATGCTAGATTTTCACAATGTAGTTACATTTATAATATATGTGTAGAAAATAGTTATTTGTACTATAAACATGATTTAAAGATGAGTTGATGTTACTCGTAGGTGGAGTATGATGTAGATGAGGAGGATACAGCTTGGCTCTCTTTGATAAATGAAAAACGAGCAGCAAAAGGACAAAATTCTGTGTCTGTAGATGCTTTGGAACTTCTTATGGACCGTTTAGAAAAAGAATCTTATTTCCAGGTTAATATTTAATTTTATTGACAATTAATGTGGTGTCTTAAAATGTTACTTAATGTTTTAGGCGGCTGCCACAGGTCAAAACACTATACCTGTTGATGATGATGCAGTTTGTTGTATATGTATGGATGGTGAATGCCAGAATACAAATGTAATATTATTTTGTGACATGTGTAATTTAGCTGTTCATCAAGATTGCTATGGGGTATATTTTTATTGCTTTCAATAACATAAGTATATAATAATATATATATATATATATATATATATATATATAATAAGAAATTATATGATAAATTCCTTTGCAACATTTTTAATTTTAAACAATGTGTATTTGTATCAAAATGTACATACATTTGATAGCTTAATACACGTAATACACATTTGGTTTACTTCTACTTGATAATAAGATATTTCTTAATGGAATAATTCATTTGTGATTAATCTCAAAACATTTATAATAGAACTCAGTGAAAAAAGTAAACTATGTTAGAATTTATTTTCTTGTTATTTTTTTTATTTTATTTTTTATTAGAATTTATATTCAAGACTTTCTTTACATTCAAATAATCTGTTCAGAAATCCAAAAGTCCATACAATTCATTCTTTACATTTCTTTTATGGATCAAAGTGGATAGCTGAATTAAGTAATATATTTTTTTTAATTAATAGTTCTGACACTTTGCAGATTTTGCTGTTTATTATATTTAGTTTTATTACTTAGGTGCCGTATATTCCAGAAGGACAGTGGTTGTGCAGAAGATGCTTGCAGTCGCCGAGTAGACCTGTCAACTGTGTATTATGTCCCAACACCGGGGGGGCATTCAAGCAAACAGATCGGGGTCATTGGGCGCATGTAGTTTGTGCTCTTTGGATACCAGAAGTTCGATTTGCAAATACAGTATTTCTTGAACCTATAGGTAAATTGCTTTCTACATTCTTAAGATTGATATGGTTTTTAAATTTTTATAAACGCATTTGATTTTATAGAAGCATTTTATTAATGCCTCAATTATATTGAATTCATTATAGCAACATTGGAATTTGATTCAACTTATCAAACAAGATTTTGTATTCAAAATATTTGTTGACGTATAAAAATAAATGTTGCATCTTTTTTTACCTTAATATTAATAGATAATTTTATAGTTATGAAAAATTTAATTCTATTTTTAATATTATATATAATGTATTTTATATATAAAATGTTGTATTGTATTATCCAGATTCGATTGAGAGTATTCCAGCAGCTCGGTGGAAGTTGAGCTGTTATGTGTGTAAGCAACGTGGTGTTGGAGCCTGTATTCAATGTAATAGAAACAATTGCTACGCAGCATTTCATGTCACCTGTGCTCAACATGCAGGTCTTTATATGCGAATGGATCAGGTCAAGTAAGTTATTAATATATATTATAGTAAATATTATTCATATTATTGCAGTAATATTAATTCATTATAAATAATTGATATTATTAATAAAACAAAATTTCAGTCTATTGACAAAGTTTTACTATACTACTTATGTTACTCATTAACCTTAACCTAATTTACATTTTAAACGCCTTTATTCAAAACATAATGAAGTCTTTGAACTATTTCATAATTCAGCTATGTTATACTATACACAGTTTACATATTATCAATGCTGTGTATGTATAAGATACCAAATTGGTAGCATAAATCACAATAGCATCAATTTGTATTCTCTGAATGGGCAAATATTTGGCATTTTTCATATATTTAAGCTTTACAGGAAACAAGAAATTAAGTTGTTAACAACACATTTTATATATTGTATGTAATGTTCTTCTCTTTCAATCCTTTATGTTGTTTATTAATATTTTATTTCAGCCGGGAAGGCGATAGTATGCCAGTGCTAGTACAAAAAACTGCATTTTGTGATGCACATGCTCCTCCGGGTGCTGTTAATGAGGTTGTTGATAGAAGTCAAAAGTCTCGAGAAGAATCTCGTAACAAAATGAAACAGGTTAGCTCGGCATGTGAAATTTGTCTATTATAAGGTGCTTATTTGGTATTATTATAGTAGTTACAGAATTTATTTTGATTATGATTCAAGCTTTCTGAAGAAAATTTTTGAATTCTGAAGAAGTTGAATAATTTTTTAGGGCCTGATTTTATTTTGTTGATTACATAGCATGTTTATTGCATATAGATTTATTCAAGTAGCATGAGAATAATGATCATTATTCTGATATTAGATATATTTTCCTTAGGGAAAATGCACTAATCTTTGTTTAAATATTTTTAGGCAAGGCGGCTACTGGCTAAGAAAAGAACTACTGTTCCAGTGATTTTAATTCCTACTATACCTCCGGAAAGAGTACAAGAAATTGCAAGTCTGGTAACTATTCAAAAGAAACCACAATTTATTCAAAGGCTTATAGCATACTGGACACTTAAGAGACACCACAGAAATGGAGTGAGTTTAAATATAATTTCATACTGTTGTCATATTAATATTGTCATTTTAATAAGTTATTAACTTCTCCAAGTAGGAGTTTGTTTTTACGAACAAATTCTATTTGCTAATTTTACATTTTCTTGATGTTTCAAGTCGTTCTGAAATGATTGAGACTCAATTTGGAAAAGATATGCGTGTTTGTGTGTGTATGTGAGCTGATTTTTGACCTTTGATTTCTCAAAAATGACTGGACCGATTTCAAAAATTTATGCCATTCAATGTAACTCAATAAGGTTTATCAGTTTTGTGCAGTGATTAGTCAAGACATTTCTTTGTAATTAGCAGGACATTTTTTGACAGATTTTAGCCCACAATCTTCAATCGAATTCATAAACTCAAAAACCATTTCAAAGACATTAGTTAGGAGTCACTTCGATTACTTTTTGGTGAAGATCGGCTGGGCTGTTTTGTTGTAATCAAAGTTTAAATCTTTTTGACGGTTTTGATAGAACTGTGTATAACGATAGATTTCATAGAAATTCTGATGCAATATACTAAGATAATGTAGTCCCACGATAAGCGGTTGAATTACAGAAATTCCTCAAAGAATTTCGTCGGGCTTAATAAATTTTTGTTAATTTTAGAATATTTTAAAAAATATAATCATATTCTTTCAAAAGTAAACAAATTATGCTCATAAACAAATCACACAAAAATAAAAAAAATCTACCTAGTACACCCATTAATTATCTTCATGAATATGCTTCATTAGACAGCATTACATGCAAAATGATCATTTAAGTGACATCTCCGTTTATTTTTTTCCTTTTCCGAATATTATAAATTCTACGAGTGGCGTATTGTACCGAGAGCGACACAGAAGCGTTTCTATGTGTCCGTCCGCATGTCTATTTGTCTCGAGGCAATTAAGCGATTCTAATCGGAATGTATACCTATTATGCATATATATGCGCCGCGTGTTTTGTAGGTACTGACTGATTACAGTTGACCTCTGCACAGTTTATGTATTAAAATTATTTTATTGTGAAATGTTTATTTTTTTACAAGCATTTTTGTTTTATTTAATGAAATACTAATCAATTATTGTTTTTAATATTAATATTCTCTTATTAGGTACCTTTACTAAGGAGGCTACAAAGTCAAGGCAGTGGAAATATGAGAAATATGGGTGATGAAGCTCCTGATACTGCAGAATTATGTCGTCAACTGAAGTATTGGCAATGCCTCAGACAAGACTTAGAAAGAGCTAGGTAAAAAACTTGCAATAATCTTATCATATTGCACAATAATGTTTTCAATATATGAAAGGCTACTTTTCTGTCCCAAAATTATGACTAGTTTGGAAAACGTTTACAGATTCTAATCAAATATTTTATTGGATGTACTATATCTTTGCATGCATAATAAGTTCTCTGAATTCATTCTTTATATCCATAACTTATTCAGGATTCAGTAAAGTTTCTTTTTTCTTAAATTGCTGTTATTTAATTTATTCATTCATTATAGGCTGCTGTGTGAATTAGTGAGAAAAAGGGAGAAATTAAAGTCAGCATTAACAAGAGTTAAAGAAAGATCTTTGCTTATTGAGATTGATCCATTGAATGCATCAATGGGAATTTTACTTCAACAATTAGAAGCCAAGGACACGAGCAGTATTTTCTGTGAACCAGTTGATCCTACAGAAGTAAATTAATTTTCACAACAATTTTTAATGCTTGCATGCTTTTCACTACATATCATGAAACTAACCTTTGATGTATTTATATGGATTTGTGTGATTTATTGTTTTGTTTGCTATATTTTGTATGCATGATTCTTTTTCAGACCTGGATTTACCAGAAAATAGAAAGAATGGACTACAATTCAATATGAAATGTAACGTAAAGTCACGCTTACTATTCAAAATTATAAAATGTATTGATTTATGTAGTCTATTTATACATATGTAGTATTTTTAAGCAATATACTTAATATTAAGTTTTTCGTGAATTATAGATGCACTACTTTGGATGTGGCATTGAATCAAATATTATTAAACATTGGTGTGGGCTGTGCTCGCTTTTTATAAATGAATATTGTTGGAGGTAAAATTCTACTTCCAGAATCTTAGGCTTGTGAAATGAGAGTTGTGATTTTTTTGCTTATTATATATGGCTGTTACCAACATATATTTCTTCTCCAACTGTGTCATTGCAACGCTTAATAGCTTGCAATTAAGTAATGTTTTAAATATCATGCTTTCTATTAGTTTTGCATCAGCTTTTTAACTTTGGTTGTTTGAGATATGTTTATAATAAAAAAATAACTCCAATGCTTGAAACTCAAATATGGTGGCAACTGTCAGTTGTAAAGTTATTAAAAGCATTATTTTTAAGATGCAGGTTTAGAAACCTGATTTACCTAGTCTGATTTATTAGATGTTTATATTTTTTAAATTTAAGTAGAATATCTAAAGTCAATACTCACAAACAGAGAGTGAGGAATGTGATATGTCTAAAAACAGTTCTTAAAATAGAAATCAAATAGTAAGAACTGAATAATAAACAGACTACTATTGAAAGGCTCTCTTAGAGGAGTTATTTTTATGAATTTTGTTTATCTATTTTTATTGCATCAAGCTTTGTCATAATTAAAAATGTTTTTTGATTTATTATTGGTTTATTAATCTTTAAATCGTAATACTTTTCCTATGTATTTCATCTTTTTTAGTTATATACTAATACTACATCTTGCTCCTATGTCTGGTAATTGAAATATTATTATTTTGTACATGTTTTATTGTAAGTATGATTCAAACATACAGCACAATTTTGATTGTATTATTTCTAGACCGTGCTGTTAAATGTTGATTTTGATTTCAATTTTTGTGCGACTCTGGTATGCAGGAAACAAAGATAGGTGAAAGGTATTGTTTGAGTATGTTTAACATATGTAACTATATTAGTTCTAAATAATGAAATTAAAATTTTGGTAATATAGTTGCAATTTTAATTTCATCTCATCATAAATAAGAAGCGAAACAAATATTATTTTCATTCCTGAGAAGATAATGGAAATTTAGTTTTTTAAGCATGTTTGACATCAATATTTTACTATGCTTTCAACATTTCTGCATGTAAGTATCTCCTTTTTATATTTACTCAAAATTCTTACTTTATGCTGTGGCATTACATAATTTTGTGAAATCATTTAATACAAAAATATAAATTATGCTTGAATAACTTGAAATATGAAAATAATGGAATTGTTTTATAATTAGGTTCCAGACTACTCAACTGTTGTCACATGCCCAATGGATTTAAGTACTATGAGGATGAAATTGGAAAATGGACAATACCAAAATTTGGATGATTTAGAAGCCGATTTTAATTTAATGATTGCAAACTGTTTTGCATACAATAATAAAGATACTGTTTTTTACAAGTGAGTTAAAAATCAATTTCTAATCATTACTTCATTATCTGTTAATAATTGCTGATTTTATTAACTTAAATCGCACAATTATCAGTAACATAATTTTTTTAGAGCTGGAGTAAAAATGCGGGATCAATGTATTCCAATACTTAAAAATGCAAGGAAAGAATTAGCAGATTTAGGCTTGCTAAGTGCTTCCAATTCTACTCCTAACATAGAGGAGACAGGCGCTAAAGAAATTGATGCAGAATTTCAAAAAATTGTGGTAGGTTTATTTTATACTTTTTAATTTTGTTTGCAAGGTTTTAATAAAAACTATTTTTTTAGAATTCTTCAAAAAATGATAAAATATCTGAATTGAAGAATTTATTGGAAAAGGCAGGACAGTTGCGACATGGACTAGCACGTGCCAAACGTGTTAAGAGCATTCGAGCAGAATTAAAGATTTTAAAGAAAAATGCTGTAAGTAATTTTAATGACGAAGGAAAGAATTAAAATAAGTTCAAGTAGAATTCAAGATTTTTTAAATGAAATCTTTAGTTATTTTGAAGCAAAACTATGTTCTTATTGCAATCTATTATTTAAAATTTAATTACAATTTATGTTGAAGTTAATATGTTGAATGAATGAATATGTTTCTATATTTGTTCTAAATTTATATATATATATATATATATATATATATATATGTGTGTGTGTGTATATTAAATGTTAAATATGAACAAAGCAACACTCAGATTTTTTAACACAACTTTATTTTATAATTACAAACGTTTCGAGACCATGGTGTGCCTCATCTTCAGTGTAATTTCAAAAAACAGTTACTTATTACTATACATTCTTTACGTATAGTAAATCTGAGTGTTGCTTTGTTTATATTTAACATTTAATATTCGTTCCACTCATATCACAAAATTCTATAATACAGTAGAACCTCGATTATCCGGACTAATTGTTGTCGATAGGCATCCGGTTAATCGAAAATCCGGATAATCCAAATTATGAAGAATAATATTTTGTTTATCAAAAATAACAAATACATACATAGATATCAACAAAAATCAATCCACAACTTGCCATAAACCATTCATCGTCGCCTAATTTTTCATTTATCTGTAATGTCTTTTCACAGATATCGGTTGTCCTGTTGATCGTTTTTGTAAAAACCAACAATATAAAGCTTCTTCTAAGAGTTAATTTTTCGGTCTCTTCATAATTTTCCGATTTTCACTCTCCTCTTCACTATCCAACTTGCAAGTATACGACAAAATTGAATCGGTATTTTTTTTAATATCGCTTATAGTGGATGTACCTACAGCATACCTATCAGCTAACTTACGGCCGGTTTCGTCTTTTTTAATGATTCTATAATAATTATTTTATCTTTAAGGGATAACACCACCCTTTAAAAATGTATATATGCACATCAAAACAGAGAATGTATTAATGTATATATGCACATCAGAATATGCAAGTTTCGACGCGATTATATCCGGATAATCGCGAATCCGTATAACCGAGGTCCGGATAATCGAGGTTCTACTGTATATGTATATAATTATATATATATATATATATATATATATATATATGTGTTTAAATTGAGTTAAAAAGTCTGGCATTACATCAATGAAAATAGTATGAGAGTTTTTAAAAATTTATGCAATGTTTTTGCAATTGCATAACGACATCGGTCATAAACAAACGCTTTGACAATACGGCCCTGAACGAAACAAACACGTGGTTCCTCGAAAGCGTGTCAAAGTTTCTTAAAAATAACAAGATCCCATCGCTTTTTAAATTTTCCGTAAAATTTGAACACATGCTAAAAACAGCTTCAAGAAAAAATGTTGCATTCCTATCTTAAACTCCAAACAGTAAATACATAGTTTAAACAACTTGTTAAGTTATCATGTTTATTTGTGTGTTTTACCATCTGTGATGTTAAAAAATATATATTTTTTCAATGTGCTTACTCATGCCATGGATTAATAATGTTTTCATATGTTTTATTAGGATACAAAATTGTAAGTGTTTATTATTATTATTATTATTGTTTTTCTATGAAATTTCTTATTTATTTATTAATTATTATATTATTTATTAATTATTTATTTGGTTTTAATTTTTATAGTAAAAATTGATTACCACTGAATGAAGGCTAAGATGCTAGCTAAAATGTAAGGATTTTAAATAAATAAATTTGTAAAAACTCTCATACCATTTTTATTGTTGTAACGCCCGACTTTTTAACTCAATTTAAACATATTATATCAACATCAAGTTCAAGACTATTATATATATATATATATATATATATATATATATATATATATATATATATATATATATATATGTATATGTATATGTTTATGTATGTATGTATGGGTGTGTATCTTGTGAAAAAATCTGATTTATTTATTTTAAATAGGTTACAGATAGTTCTCAATCAGATGGGGATGAAGCAGTTTTAGCCAAGAGTAAAACATCTCCAGTCAAGGATACTAGAAATTCTCCAACAGGCGGAGTAAATCGCAGGTCAGGTTTTATAATCTTATATTACACAAACAATAGTTGGTGATATATTTGTCAAAAATGAACATTTTTGCATTTCTCGACGTTTTGAAGGTTTCTGAAGATTTTGGCATACCTCACAAAAAATGTATGTGTGAGTGTGTGTGTGTTTTGTATGTCCGCATTTTTTCGTACACGTTTTCGGGCGGATGGATCAACCGATTAGAATGGTTCAAAAAACATTCGATTTCTATTGATAAGGAGATGTGCTGATTAATTTTTGGCAAAGGCAGGTCCAGCCGTTACGGAGATAACGAGCAAAGAGTACAGAAAATACAAATCGAGCTAAAAATATGATCTAAAAAACATTCAATTTGTAATGATTGGGAGAAGAGGTGATTAGCTTTTAGCAAAGGCAGGTCCAACCATTTCAAAGATACAGAGCTAAATGTGCAAAAAATGGCAGTTTTTGAGAGAACTAACGTTCGATTTGAATTATTCAAAGAACTTTCTGCTTGTTTCAATAAAATAATTGCTTTTGGAAAAAAAAAATTATTTGTTTCTATTTTTTTTTTCAAAAAAAAATCTTTTTTTTTTTCAAGAATTTTTTTTTTTGTATATCGAAAATAATTCAGATTTTAATTTTAATTATGTTCTTATATACTTTAAGCAAATAATTTCAACTTTGCAACTCAGTTTATATAATTCTTATAAATATTAGACATTATTACAATATTTATAGAAATTTATATGAAAACACTTAATATTCCTCGTCATTGCATTATGGTACTCGAAGTTCCAGGAATTTGCCTCAAGGCACGATGCCATACACCACTAGTTTTGGTTTAATTATTTGAACATGATTATAGATTTTGTTTTGAGATATTTTGTAGGCTTATAGAGTTTAAATAATTCAAATAATTTGATTTTGTTTTTATTGGGTTCATTGGAGAGTCATTTTGTTTTTGGTAGATATTTTGGCAAATCATAACCATATAATTAACAAATATTTTATTAAATTATATATATTGGCTGTTTTGGTTTATCTTTTTTCATATTTCTGATAGTAGCATAATTCCGAAATAATACATTTTTTAGTCGTTATTGGCAAATAACTGTTGAAGGTGGTTTTTGACCACCTCATTTGAGGTGAAGGTTTTACCCTCTAAAAATTTATTTAGTGATTGCAACAAATACTAGTCCAATGATGCCAGGTGTGGGAAATATGGTGGGTGTGGCATTGTGCCCCATTCAAGCTAAAGAATTTTTTGGCGATTGACATAACTTACGTGAGGTCAGGCTTGATGCAATTCTATACCTTTTTTTTTTTTTAATATTATTTTTATTTATTTACATATATACATTATTTTCATACCTTGACTGTTGAATTACATTACTTAGCTTATTCAGCTGATTACAGTATGTTGAATTAGCCATTATGTTATCCTGAAAGAGCTAGAAAACGACAAACTCCTCTAACTACTAACCAATACAGCGGTGAATATTGACTTTGCGACTGTTTTGAGCAAGTTCTTCCTTTGTGTTTCATGAATCATTGCTTGTGATGTATTGTATATAACCCATTTTCGATATTTGAAGGGAAACCATCCAAATAGAATTTTTCACATAACAAACCTTAATTTTTGAAATCATATAATAATTATGGGGCTTAAGTGACAAAAAAAAAATATAATTATATCCTCTGTGGTGAAAAAGAGAATGACCTACCTAAGAACCTTATTTTATTTTTAATTTCACAGAACTGCTGTATTATTTACAAAAAAAGCACAGGCTGCACTTCGAAAACCAATTGAAATGGATTCAATGTTAGCAATAGAAGATAATATAAATAAAGGAAAGGAAGATGTTCAATTTCAAAACCAAACTCAAAAGCAGTCCAATTTATCAATGGATACATCAGCACCCGAAGTATCATCTGGTCGTAAAAATAAGAAAACACGTAGGTGAGTAATATATATATATATATATATATATATATATATATATATATATATATATATATATATATATATATACAGTAGAAACTCGATTAACCGGACTAATTGTTGTCAATAAGCATCCGGATAATCAAATGTATGAAAAATAATATTATGTGTTTATTAAAAACAACAAATACATAAATATCAACAAAAGTCAATGTTTTTTTAAAGAAATTGATGCTTATGTATGCACATGCATATTTTCTTAGATTTCATTACATACCATACATTGTACTAAGCCGGAGCATTAATCATGGGATAAAATAGTTAGGTACTTATGTACAAATAATTTGTTTACAATGTTTATTTGGTGATTTGCATTTAGTAATCATGAAATAAGTTTAATTTGGTTTAAAATATTTGGTAATAGTGTTTTACGTAAGCAACTTTTCCTCTTCATTGCTGCTGTTGGTAGTCTGAATAATCGCGAAATCGTATAACTGAGGTCTGGGAAAACGAGGTTCTACTGTATGTATGTATGTATGTATGTGTATATATATATATATATATATATATATTTATCAACTCTTTTAAAGAATATCAAATTTTCAGTAAATACTTCAGCAAACTTTTTGCGTGATTGTTACACAGCCATGATAAGTTCTTAAAAAAGTGTTATTTCTCCACACATCATTTGATATTTATGTAGTTTAGTTACCCTCTAACTATGGAATGAATGAATTTTACTTATTAAATATTAATAGAGTAAACTTACAATAATATATTAAGAAAAATATATAATAATATAAAAGCGCATATAATACAAATATAAAATGGTAAGATTTATATTTAGCAGGAAAGATTTGTCAAAAAGTGCAAATAGTACCTTGGAATCTTCAACCAATAGCAATGCTGTATCACAAAGCTTTCTTGTGTATCGTGCTAGAAAAGAAGCTGAAGTATCTGATAGTGAATCACAGGAGTCCTTATCAGAAAGTACCTGCAGTAGCTGCAGTCATGAGAGTGATGAGTGAGTCAATGTTTCTTAAACTCTATTTCAGAGATTTGAAAAAGCTAATTTTTTATAGTGTTGAATTTTGATGATTTCGGTTCAATAAGTTGGATAAATCGTTTTTACAATAAAACACAATATAGGCACAGATAAAATTGTTAATGAATCAGTTAGTTCAACAGAGGAACAGAAATTATGCGCTTAACTTAAATGTGAACATTTTATTAACACCAATGAGACTAGGCTGTTTTATCTAAAGAAAACCTTCTAATGATTTTAACATTTCAAGTATTTTAAAGAGCAAATAAAAGAGGCAGTTTAAATAGTGTCATTTTAATCAAACCTGTACGCGCTGTAAGATATTGGAAAGTTTTTTTTAAGTCAATAAGAAAATTCTGTGCTTAGTTGATAATTGTCTGATATATAATAATACTATTGACTTTTGGTGCCTCCCACTATGATTTCGATAATGCAATAGATATCAAGATATTTTTCAATGCAATGTATTTTGTATTTTTTTAAAATGACACATGCTGTGAAACTTTCTCCTCGACTATAGATTATTATGTGAATTTTTCTTTTCTTTTCTTTTCATTATTTTTGAACAGCATTCAGAGCTTGAAATTTTCTGAGCTATTGATACTTCTTAACTACGTGAGCTGTTTATCCGAAACACAGATTTAAATCCGAGAAGCTAGGCATTTACCATGATGATACAAACCCTCACTTTCATTAAAAGAAAACAAAAATAATAGTAAGTGACCAGGCTAAGTTGTATAGTCTGGTAATTTTCTGACTTTAGCTTCCCTTTTTATATTACCTAAGTATGTTTTAAACTATAATTATCATAACGACAAAGCCTTATATAAGCACAAAGTGATTATGTATGAAGTAACCACATAAAGACTTTTTTTTTTCAAAGTAAAATATATGATAATTTTTGTATTTCACAGTTCCTGTGGTAATTGTTCTCATAGTTCAGAGTGGTTTAGTAGCAATGATGAAGGTGTCGAGAATGAGCCAATTGCAGGTTCGAGTAAGCCTTCTCTGAAGCCATTGCAATTAGTTTGGGCTAAATGTCGAGGTTATCCTTGGTACCCAGCATTAATTATGGATCCGGAGACTCCTCGCGGCTTCGTTCACAAGGGTGTTCCGTTACCATACCCGCCATCTGATGTCCTAACATTACGCGCTAAAAAAATTCCTGCAGATGGAGAATCAGTATTTCTCGTTTTATTTTTTGATGCAAAGCGTACATGGCAGTGGCTGCCTGCTAGCAAATTGGAACTTCTAGGAATCAGCAAATCACTAGATCAACAGAAATTGACAGAAAGTCGAAAACCTGCCGATAAGAAAGCTGTAAAGAAAGCTTACAATGATGCACAATTATATTTAAGTCAAGTTACAGATGCTCAAGGACCAGACGCAATTATGTAATTGGATTTTTTATTTAATGTTTATTGTATATTTAATTATTATCTGTTTTTATATTATTGACCCAGTACAAATAAATATTAAATTACACAGGATTTTGCGGTAATATAGTTCTATGCTTTATTTATTTAATGTGTATGATTTTGTTATTATTATTATAGCGATCGATGCGTTTTATTATAAATAAACATATGCATTTGTTTTATTAATATTCCCTTGCGCCTATAACCATTATTGAACTTACTCAAACAGCGAACACAGTTCTGTAATCTATGTCACGAGTAAAACTAAAATATGTGATTGTATATGTCATAAGATTAAACTTGTTTATTTAAATATATTTATTGATTTTGGCGGGCTGAAGAGACACTTCGTATTTTCTGGCAGTATTTTAAAATAAGAGCAATGTAATACTCTAGAATTGTGATATTTGCCATTATCTTTGGTATCACTAATAGTTATTCTCGACGTTTGCTTTATATTATAATAAACAATAAGCAACATAATTTATAATTGTGGACGCTGAAATTTTAATGCTCGAATTTAATTTAGGGGTGAAAGAGATTTATATTTTATTAACGTGTATATCAGCCTTTCTTGGCTATAATATATATATTTTGCAAAGTATTGTTTAAGGTAGTGAAATAGTCTTGCAGTAACTATAAATAGGTTATGCAATAAATACAACAGCGCAATAGCCTGAAATTGAGTTTCGAGAGTCCCTAAAATATACATTTTCTATTTATTCAATTAGAAACTGGTTATTGAAAACTTTCAGTAACTCTGGAAATCTTATATCTCTGCTTCTGGGGTGGGTATAGGACCCGGCGCCAGTGGTTACTATACCACGTTCTTACCACATATAGATGTATCTTATAATATCGATTTATTTATAAATATTGACTTTTGTTTACATTTGGCAATACTAAATAATATATTGGTATTCATACAAGAATTTAGTAATATTTGTTTAGTGCTTACCCAACTTGTCGACGAGTCGCATTTCTTTTGATACTTTGTTTATTATTAGATACATTAGATTGAATTATTTTTATTTTATATGAAACTTATTATTAAAATATTTTGTTGTAAAGTGTATGTGCTGTAATCAAAATATTTTAACCCTTTGGGGACGGAACGGTTTGAAGTGAACCTTACCGTGGTGCCGAGCTCCTGCCACCTTAATCATTTAAAATTGCCAACGCATATTTCTGGCACTCTAACTCAAATTCTGGACATATATATATATATATATATATATATATATATATATATATAATATTTATAAATGCAGATTTCCCACATGATAAATAAAATATTTATTTGTTTATTAACATTGAGTTCCTCGGTCATCCACATGTATTTAGACGGGACTCATATATGCGTTCCTCGGCTCTAACAACTGCCTTCGCCAAACGCATATACGAGTTTTTCGGCCAATTGGTTGGTTTGCGTGAAACGCATATATGCGGCGCTCGTCCTCAAAGGGTTAAATCATTTCACCTAGTGGTAAATACAGTTGTGGAATAGTTAGAAATGTTTAGTATGTGTAAAAGTGTTTAGTTTAGTTTAGTGTGTGTAAAAGTTCGTAAAGCATAAATTTACTTTACATAAATTATGGTGATATGGTGCCTTACCGTGGGGACTCTGGTTTTTACTGATATAGTACAGTTTTTGGATGAGAACGATGTTTACATAGTGGTAACAGGTATGACGTCTTAAGTTATTGCGTTTAATACTTATTAAATTATCACATCATATTTATAATGCTTTTTCTCTCGATAATAACTTATATTTAAAAATTATATAGCAATATACTTAATAGCAAAAATAGATATAATAAATTCTTGGACTAATATTTACTTAATTAATAATAATTTTTATAAATCAACTATTAACGCTTGCAATCCCTTTCCGAGGCAATAAAACCGGTTCCACACCGTGTGTGCAGTATTAATTAGCAATTATTAGTTATTCTGAGTAAAATAGTCGTCAAAATAATTTTTTTTTGAATTAATAGTATCTGTAAAGTATAGAAAAACAAAATTTATCATTGATTTATTGCGTACCAAAACAAAACATTTTGTTTGGAATTTCGAAATCTACGTTTTTAGAAAATATCAACGTAAGATCAGTGTGCCTTTTCCTAAAAACGTATTTACAAATTGTATTTTCTTTTTTATTACTGGGTTACATTACTTTATTTCCTTTATTTTTTTTAAAAAAAAATATTGTTTATATTATTTTCTTCATTATTCAACTTATTTTTTTGACTTGTTACTATTTCTTAAAAATTTTCTTCATTATTGAAAGCAACATAACGATTTTATATTGTCTAATTATTTTTAAAATAAATGTTTATCAATTTTAATGATGTATTTTTATTTTACCTTACATTGCATACATGGTATTCAAACCGCCCTCGCAATAAAAAATTTCTGAGAAGCGAGTTGCACACAATTAATCTTACTTATGCAACTTTGCTTACGAATTGGATGATTTCCGTAGTGAACATGTTTTTTTTTATTAAAAATGAACAATATAAACAAAAAAAAACTTCGCTCCTGGAGACCGCGTTCGAAAAAACACGCCGTCTCAAATGGGTTAAATTAAATCGCTGATTCGGAGGAAAATCGAGTTACGATCAGTTCGTGTAAATCAATCTTTAAAATAAATCATCAAATAATATAATAGATGATAATATATACTAAAAAAGTTATGTTGGATCTATTCAAACTTATAACTTATAAAGAATCCTTGTAATCGCTATGAAATACGCCCAAAAATATGTCAAAATGAGTATTGTATGAATGATTATTGTGCAATGTGTAAAATATATCTTTATTTGAGTATTATATGTATATAAAAACATTTAAAATTTAGAATAAAACGTTTATATCTATGCTCCCAGTAGTCTTTTGACAAGATAACCAGGAAAAGAGTATAGTCCTAACAAAAGCAAGGCTATCAACATTAGAAGTAGAACAGTCTTGCATATGGCTCCTTTGTACCTTCGGCATAACATTGTTTTAAACGCTTTGAATGGGCTCTTGAACCACGAGAAAGATGTATCTGGTCTTCTGTGTAAAATATATCATGACATTATATATATATATATATATATATATATATATATATATATAATATTGAATTATACTATACTATAGTATTGTATAATTTAATATTATACTTGGGTGTAGAACTTTTCTTTTATTTGCTTAAAATCGTGTAAAAACGAATTTCATGAAGTATGAACTTTGTCAATATATATTATGAAAAGATTTTTAAACATGCATCCAGATAATATAAGAAAAACTAAATTAAGTATGTTTCTAATTTTTTTCCACTGAAGAAGAGTCAAATTGGGTTTCACAAGATATGGAAGTCCATTAAAAATCTTTAGAGTCATAATTTTCAGTGAATAGTTTTATTCTTTCTATTATCTGGATAGAAGCTTGTTTAAAAAGGTTTTTGGTTTTCAACCAAAAGTTGTTGTTAAAGTTTTTTATCATATGAAAAAATGATAACGCGCACACACAGATAAATACAAGGTCGGCCCTGGGGTCCTCAGCGTCCTATACCATTTTTTTTCTCGCGCCCCCACCCCCACATATTATTTTAAATGTTTTAATAGTTTATCATTGAAATTATATAAACATTTATGTTAATTTTTTTAAATACTTTTTAATAATTCTGAATTCAGTATACAAACAATTTAGATATAATCTAAAAGCGCATCATTGACTTGAAATTTATTTAGAAGATCGAGGTGATTCGCGGGTGCTCACAATCAAATTGTTGTATCTTCTATTGTTGTCATATTACCAAACTATTTTTAATTTTTTTTTCAATCCAAAAATGTTAGTATGTTTATTATTGCTTACAAGAATATTTTTGAACTTTCAATTATTTCTAACGTATATGCAATATTACTATTTGGGTTTTGAAACATTTTACTTATTTATTTTGGGGATTTTATGCGATTTATTCTATTGAGCAAATCATAAAAAGTGAAAAAATTAGCCTTACATAATGAACACTAGTACTTCATGTTGGATTATTTTAATTTAATTTTTCATTATTTAAAATATCCAAAATTGCATCACGTATTGCATGTATTCATATTTACTTTCCCATCGTGTATCGGATTGTTGTTCTAAAGTTAAAATTTTAACATATTTTCAGAATATTGTCCAAATATTAGTAAAAGATGAGAAAAAATTATATATTTCTTGAATGAAGTATATTATAAATTTCATATTCGAATCGTGTTGGCGCCTCCTAAGGCGTGGGCCTGCATTTTCCGCATTTAAATGTACCAAATCGGTTCGGTATCAAAGCAGCTTGATACCAAATTTTCACTTGAAATCATAGATTTCAAATATGATTTCAAGTGAGAATGGCCTTTCGTGGGCATAGCTGTAGTGGCAACATGCCACTTGAAAGTAAAAAGTCATCACTATTACAACAATTGTAATAATTCAGCACATAGAGATGGGACAACTGTTTAGGTTGCCATCTATAATAATTGTAAGATAATTGATCACAACAGCTCATAGAACTCATAAGTTCTGATCGCTGTCAAAAAAAAAAAAAGAGTACCAAATAAAATGTTTCTGATTTTAATTAAAATCTTTACTTTGGTTCCGGTAACTTTTGAGGCTCGTTTCTTCCTAATCCTGCGGGATTACCTTCTGCTTCGTGCGATTTTAATAGTTCTATTTCTAGTTCCAACTTTCCCTGAAATAAAAGTTAAATAATAATTTTTAGCTACGAATTGAAATTATTAATCGACTTACGGCTATATTAAAATTTCCGAGTTCATCCTTTGAATTAGATTTACAAGGCCACCAGCCGCGTGCTCGTTTTGCACGGAAAGCATTTATTTTCGGCGCCCTAGGCTCGATTTGCGCCAGTGAACAGTGTTTCGAATCTTTAGCACCTCGGGGTAGTCTACATGATAAATATAAAAATTTATCTATCCAAGCATCTTATGGTAATACAAAATCAGCGTTATAGAATTTTAATACAGATGATAAAATCTCGTACATTTTTATTAAATAAATTTAATTAAATCTTAACTATAAAAAGTACAATAATATATCCTTTGTGTATACATTTATATTTATATATATTTAATATAAATAGTAGCCAATTCGTTGAATTGAAAAATTGAATAATATTTACACTTCTTTATTTAAACAATTCAACACTTCATATGTATCCTCATTCACCAAATTTAAATTACAAACTAGTGGTGCATGGCATCCTGCCTTAAGGCAAATTGCTGAAACTTCTCGTATCAAAAATCATTTTTTGTAAAAAATATTCAATTTTTTTAAACTTTGAAATAAAATAGATTTTTGAGATTTTTTAAATCTTTGAAAAAAAAACTACCTTTTTCAAAAAACAGATATTTCTATACGTTGAAATATTTTAGGAATATTTCTTATACTTTTTTTCAAAGCAATCGGGATACGTTAGCTGCGTGGAAACGAAATATTGAAGCGCCTGGGCGCCGCGTCGCAGTATACTGGCTAAACTTTAGTACGGAACCCATAGAAATGTAAACAATTTTTTTTCTTATTATTAAAATATCTATAAAAATGTGAGATTTGATGTGCAATATGTTTGATTATTTTTGACCGCCAATTGGCAGTATTGTTAATTTTCCGTGAAACCTGGTTCAGTGACTTATATGTATGGCTCCATACTATTACTTTTAAATAATATAATTCTCCTTTTTTTTAATAATTTTGATTTTGTGTTAAATTCCGTCAAAAAATATAATTTTATTAAGATGTATAAGTTACAGGCTTTAACCTGGTGATTACTGAATGATGACACACATCAAGTGTCAAAATGAAATTTATTTCTTCATTTTGACGAATGGGCTGTTAAAACATTTTAATAACATTTTAATAACAAATAATTCTTTTTAAGAATGGTGATTTCTTTATTATATTATGAAACGTGTCGGATTCTATATCTTATGATTTCAAAATTAAACTACCTTCGCATATCTAAATTTGCAGAGCCTACAAAGTCATCCTTAGAAAACGTGTCATTATCCCAAATTTGAATGTGCAATCTGAAAATATTAACGGTTTTCTTTATTTTATCATTTATTTGAATGACGAATACGACGAATATATACTTGCACGGAAATTTTCTTTCTGATTCACCAACTGAAAATACGTTTTCCTTGAACTTTTCAACAATCTGTAAAATAAATAAAACGATTTTCAAAAAATTAAATTACATTTTTTAGATTTTTTAGGTAAAATTAACCAATTCAAATAAATTTATATGTTTACGCTTGAGAATGAATAACCTCAACATACAGTAATCATTAATATTAAATTAACAATTTAATTAATATAATGTAATTGTTTGTATTAAATTCATTAATATTATTAATTCAGATATTAGTTTTGCAATTTTGCAAATTTAGATGAAAATATTTAACAAATTTTATCAATATTCATAATCCATTTCCATATTTTCAGAAAATTTGTTTGAATTTTTAAGTAGCATCAAAGACCTCCACATTTAATTTGTAATTTAGAAACATAGCATAAACAAAACCGTTACGTGTTTGCGTAAACAAAACGTTTGTTCTTGTCTGGAGAATAGAAACACCTGTATGTTTCTACGTTACGTGTGTTACGTAATAAATATTAGAGGATTTAGAAGATCTTGAGGTTTTTTGTATATATATATATATATATATACATATGTGTATATATATATATATATATATATATATATATATATATTTGTCCTAACCATTCCCTCTGCATATAGGTAGTTGAATTTAAATATCATTCTCCAATTGAAGTTTCCTTCTCCTGTTACACTTCGATAATGGATGTCGGTTGTTTGTTCATCTGATTCTCCGAGCAACCATGCCCTTATATAAATGTCGGATACTTTTTCTCCCAGCATCATGTCCTTTTCTAGGAGCGGCACATCCTTGAAATATAAAATATTATTACACTTTACACAGAACTTCATAACAGATAATTAACTTTGTAAGTGCTGCTACTAGAAATAACCTGGCACCCCCAAAGTGAACAAACCCCTTAACTTAAAATGACGAGCAGAGCCCGCTTGCGATTGCTGGGCCAAAAGTGAATATTACGGGCACAGCCCGCGTACGATATTCGGGAAAGAAGCAAATATTACGCATTTCAGGCATGGCCCGGTATGGTGAATGCAAGTGTTATAAAATATTTATTCATACGAAACTATAAAACACAAAATTATTTTTATTTATGTGATAAACCGTACACTATGAGGAAAAATAGTCACAAACGCCGCGCCAGCTTGAACAACTTTGGCCCGACATTTTCGAATCTAAATTGTAAGTTAAGGGGTTAAATGAATTCATATATTTTCAACATAGACCTTCAATCCAATAATGACCACAAATAATACAATAAATTAAATATGTAAATAGTTTTTTCTCGCAAATCGTGCCGTACGTAAATCATACTTTACTTATTAAACTGTTCTCATATTTAGTATTAATATGATTTTTCAATAATACGCATATGCGTATTTTTTAACCTCCTGTAGGGTAAGTTATAGTAATGGGCCGAAAATCGAAAATGTTTCTGAACATTTTGGCATGCCTCAGGAAAAATGGATATGTGTGTGTTTTGTGTGTCCGCAATTTTTCGTCCACGTTTTCGGGCGCACAGATCAACCGATTTGAATGGTTTATAAAACATTCGATTCCTATTGATAGGGAGATATGCTAATTAGTTTTAGGCAAAAGCAGTTCTGGCAGTTACGGAGATACGGAGCAAAAAGTGCAGAAAATAGAAATCGAGTTTTTGAGAGAACGGAGTATCCGATTTGAATACTCCAAAAAACATTGGGAGAAAAGGTGATTCGTTTTTGGCAAAGGCAGGTCTAGCCATTTCAAAGATACAGATCTAAATGACAAATCTAAAAGATTCAAAAAAAAATTTGGTTGCTATATCAATCAGGACCGTTCTTGAATAGCCATTTATTTGCCTTACGTGTGGAATACCCACAATACCTTTTCATTTAATGTGAAAGATTTGGCACATACATAAAATTGTATTTTTTTGGCCTAGTTATTTTGGAAATATTATTTAAATAGTATATTTAATTATGCTAGTATTAAAATAAAAAAAACCTGAACGTTCCAAACAATGAGTCTTAATTCGTACGGACATGGTTTTCTTGGAGCAATTTCAACAGGTGCAGGAGGTGGTGTTCCACCAGCTAGTGAGAATATATCAACCCAAAGCTGTAACTTTCCCTAGAATTTATAAATGTAGAACATATCATTATCTGTTGTTTATATTGATGATGAAATTGAAACATAAATTAAAACAAAATCAATTTTAATAATATTTTTATATTGAATGTGTGGAAGTCTACGTTATTTTCTTGTCGCTTAAACTTCTGCTGACATATTAATTTAGCTATACTATTATTAGAAATATTTTCGGAATATTTTATAATACATATTATATAATATATAAAACATATTTATAATACAAAGTATTTAATGAATAATACAGTTGGATATGCGAATTAATGCCTCAATTTTTTAGAAGTTAACGATTTGATTATTTTATAACAAAATTAGTTTTACTAATATTTTCTTGTATTTACTCTGCTAATTCAAACAAAAATAATTATTTGATAAACCATTTTTAAACTATATTTTTACGTCTGTTAAAAATGTCAATTTGTGAACTGACATAGTGTTTTTTTACTCGGATTTTTAGTCTTACTAATTGCAACCAACGTAATTTGTTGGTATCTTTTTATTTTTATTATTTTGTTCATAGACTTTGATCAATTCTATGTTTAAATTCACAATACTATTTATTAACTTGTTCTAATCCTGGTCTCGTCGGATTGTACAAAGTTCTAGTTTCTACATGCTCTGGAACTAATTCTCCTGGACCACCTGGACTGAGTTCTTGCCATTGTTTGAGTGCATCCAAACTTAAGATTTCCTATTCACGTAATTGAAAATATTCAAAAAATTTATTTAATATGAGTGATGTGGAATATGCTTTATATTGAATCGATTAGATAAGGGCCAAAAAATTGAGAAAAATGTTAAGTAAATTTATTAAAATAAAATAATGAAGTAAATTAGACAAATGAAAAAAAATTATTTAGTAAGCATCATTGTGTAGATAATAGGCTATGCAATATGGAGATTTTTGTCTCTCGAAAAAATATATGATATATGCAAGTCAAGAACAGATAAAATACTTAAAATATACAGCGACTTAAAATATTTTGCTTAAATAAATGTTGTAAAATATTATACCTGTTCATCTGCACTAATCAAAAATTTTGGATGTTTGTTATTTTTATTGTTTGGTCCTGTGGGTATTCCAGCTTCAGGAGTAAATACTCTATTGCCAACAACGAGACTACCCTATCAGAATGCGTAATTTATTTTATATCATGTTTAGACTTAAAATTTTAATCGTACATTCATAATAATTTACTAACAAATTTTAACACCGAATTTGTTAAAAATACCTGGGAATAAACAGGTTCCGCCAAATCATATTTAGAACAGAGCGTTTTCAAAATGCGCGATGGTAACTGGGAATCTCGCCACCGGTTGTATCCAGATCTAAGAACGCAAAAAAATTAATGAACTTTATTCGAATTTTGAAAAGAACTGTGAATTCGTATTTTGTGTATTTTAAAGCCTTATTTGATATAATCAAAAAAGATAAATGTGCATAAAAACACCCCACTGAATTTATACTATACATGTGGCGAAAGTAAGGAGATACCATGATAAAAAAAATTACATAATTTGTGAATTTGATCATATCTACAATATTAGATAGGGTGGGCCATTAGCGAATCATTTGTTTCAGATATATATATATATATATATATATATATATATAAATGGATGTAAGTCTGTGTGTATGTGTGTGTGTGTAATTGTAACGCATTCATAAACCAATACGTCCGATCGCCCTGAAAATTTGAGAAATTGTCAGGTAAATCCCGTGACAGGTTTTTGGATATTTGGATTGAAGCCAAGTGGTAGGGGATGGTTGCCGTTTTTTATAACACATAAGCTTAAATTTTTAACCTCCTACCACAAACCCCTTTTTGTGAGAATTATTATAGTAAATATCTTTTTTAATTAGTTGGTAATTGGTGGACTAGCATACTGGTATACAGGTAAACTGGCATCGTTGTAAGGCTGCACAGGACTTGCTCATGCAGACGGTAAGAAATATGAAAATTGATGTTGCCCTCTTATCAGAACCTTAAAAACAACTATCTGATTGGCCATGGGAAACGAACAGTACCACCAAAGCTATTATTTGGTCTTGTGGCAAAATTTGTTTCCAGAATGTTGTTAACAATAGCAACGCTGGATTTGTGACAGCATCATTAGATGGCATACATTTATATAGCTGTTACGCTCCACCTAGTCTTTTTTTGACAGATTTTGTTGATTTTTTAGATCGTTTTGTGGAGGATGCAAAACGACACCACCCCGTAGCGATAGCCGGTGACTTTAACGCATGGGCGGTATACTGGGCAAGTAGGAAGACTAATGCAAGAGGTAAAGCACTTTTAGAGGCCTTTAATACACTTGATGTTGTTTTACTAAATAGCGGTGATAAGCCAACCTTTGTCAAGGGCAGTGCAAGCTCAATAATAGGCCTTACGTTAGTTAGCAATAGCCTCGTCAGAGGAAATTGCAATTGGGAGGTACTAGGTATCTACACTGCTAGTGACCACAATGCAATCACCTGGAAAATATCAACGAATAGAAACATTAGAAGACATGCGAAAATATCTAAAGCCGTTGGGTGGAAAATAAAATCTTCTGATGAAAGCGCCATTAGAGTTGCCTTAAACTACAAACTAGAGAGCTGATGGAAAGAATAACCGAAGCCTGTGATATCAGTATGACTCGTAAGGTAAGCATGGCATAAATCAAAGACAATTTGTGCACTGATGGACTGAAGAAATCAGCTCTCTTCGTAAAGATAAATAGATGAACAGGTAGACAGATAAAAAGGAAGACAGATAAACAGAAAAACGGGTAAATTGGTAGATAGATATATTGGTAGATAGATATATTGGTAGATAGATATATTGGTAGATAGGTAAACTGGTGTACAGGTAAATTGGAGTATATGTAAAATGGCAGACAGGACAACTGGTAGATAGATAAATATGTAGACATATACACAGGTTGACAGATAAATTGGTAGACATATAAAACTAGTTGACAGGTAAATTGGTTGACAAGTAAATTGGTAGACCGGTAAAATGGTAGACAGGTAAAATAGTGATTTGATAAACAGGTTGATAGGTAAATTAATAGACAGGTAAATTGATAGACTGATAATCAGGTTGACAGGTATACTGGTGAACAGGTAAATTGGTAGATAGGTAAATTGGTTGATAGGTAGAGAGGTAGACCGATAGAGAGGTAGATAAATAGTCATATAGACATGTAGACTGGATGACAAGAAAACTGGTAGACTAGACGTAACAATATGCTTTTTTGCTCAAAATTTTAATTGAAAATAAAAAACGGCGAAGCGTGAATGGGTACAGCTAGTATAAAATAAAACTTATTATTATTCATACTCATTTCGATTATAATTTATTTCAATCTTCAAGATGATACGCTACAGCTACTTTTTGAAAATGATATTGCGTAAATGGCCACCTTTGGCTTTGAAAGCATAATTATTTGTGTGGAATGTATAACATCGATTGTTATTATTATCGTATCGATATTACTTGCAGTAACTTTCCGAAATTCCGCAAGAAGCCCGATGGTTACTATAGAAGCGATCTTCGATGTCTATTACGGTGCTTCCAATAAGATCATCTTTGCTGATAAGATCCATATCGTACACTGACACCGTGAGAGTGTGGTCATGTGGTAATATTGCTTGCATTTCAAAACATCTACGAAAATAATTATGAATATTGAGTCCTATATGTCTAACAATTAAATAATTAAATACTTAAATAATAATAAGATGACCATATTTTTTGAAGTCAAAACCGGGACGGCACTTTTTAATTTTGTTAATCCGGAACGGGAGGAAGGCTTTATGCTAAATAACTTAACTATGATTTTGAAATAACAAATACTATTCAAGGATATAATCAAAATCTTTTTTTTCGACTCAAGTTTTTTTTTAAAGAATAGCAGAGTTTTAGTAAAAACTTTATTATTCGATTATATGTTATGGTGTTACCTTATTTTACCTATGATGTTATATTGGGTGAAGTAAAAAGTTCGTTTCGTTTTCCGCAATAGACGGCTTTAGTTACAAATAATTCAGGAAGTGCAGATCGCAGCGGCACCAGAGTAAACCCTCGTTAGAAAGGTGACACTCGAGCATCATTTTGATGGTATAATCAAAAATTGGTCAAATGGTTGAAAAGTTATTTGTGTTTGAAAATGGAAAAAACTAATGAAAAAAATCGCTATATTTGCAATATTATTATGGTAGAGGGAAGAACGCTGCGCAGGCTTGTGAAATAAATTATGCTGTATAAGGTGAAATTACTTCATCAAAATCTGCTGCTCGAAAATAGTTCGCTTGCTTTTGTTCTGGTAATTTTGATGTGAAAGATGTGCCACGCTCTGCTCGTCGAATCACTAAAAAAGTCGATGAAATTCTTAAAAAGCAGAGCAAGATAAGTACTAAGCTCTGTAGACATCAAGAGGGAACTAACCATTGATCAGAAAGCTGTTTTGAACCAATTACATAAAGCTAAGTACAAAAGAAAGCTTGATGTGGGATCTTCATGAGTTGGGTGCGAAGACTGGATAGGCCGAATCAATGTCTGGGATACGCTGCTCAAATGCAATAAAATCGAACCATTTATAAAACATTTCTTAACTAGTAAGAAAAAGTAGATTATATACGACAATCGGAGGCGAAATAAATCTTAGTTTAGTGATTGTGAGCGACGACAAACGTTTACAAGTCAGAAATGACACTGAAAAGGGTGATGTTGTGTTTGTGGTGGGAGTAGAAGGTAATCGTCAATCGTGAGCTACTTCCAGTTGGTCAGACCATTAATTATCAATCCTACTGTAAATAAAGAGAGAGATTAAGCCAAACAATTGAAAGTTTTACATCATCACAAAGCCCGACCATACACTTATTTGATGACCTGCCAAAAGTTGCGTAAGCTTAGTTGAGAATTTTTTTGCATCTGCCATATGTATACTCCAGACATAGCACCCTCTGACTAACATTTGTTCCGATCTCAGCAAAACTATTTTAATGGAATTAAACTGATTTCAAAAAGAGCTTGCAAAAAGCACTTGTTTCAGTTTTTCAACCAGAAACCATAGAAGTTCTTTACCGATGGCATCCGATAGCGAAACATTGCTGATATTAATAAAGCATATTTAATTTGAATAAATTTATTTTTACCCTATAAAAAAACTTGTTGAGTTTCACTAAATAAACGAAACGAACTTTTTACTTGACCCAATATTATATCTAATATTTTTCGATATATATGTGTTTTCGCTTTTGAGCTTTGTATAAAATTCTATACAATTTTCTTTATAATTAACTTAAAAAAGCACTTGTTTGTTCGTTTTCATAATTTTTGTTAATTTTCGTGAAATTTGAAATTATGTATTCGGCTAAGTATTGATTCATATAAGCAGACTCGTTGTCTTGAAACAAAATATATCATTTTGAGATATTTAATGGATAGCTGTAGTTTTATTAAATAATAGCAAAGATTCATAATTTTAATTTTTAAAAACCCGGGATAAAAGATCTAACTCCAGGAAAAATATTGCTTAATAATAACTGTGATCTTATATATAAGAAGTTACAACTGGTTACTTAAAATTGTATTTTGCGGACTTTGTAACTGTAGGTAATGCTAAAAAATTAAAAAAATATATATATCTGATTTTGTTTCTACTTGATACATTTCGATTCTATTTAGCCTGACCTGACATGATTTATAAAATAAAATTTTATAAAAAATAAATCAAATTCAATTTTACATATTCAAGTAAATATATACTTTCCAAATGTTGGGTTGATCGTTTTCGGCAAATAATTAAATCTATCGTCTATTCTCTGACAGTTGCCGAGCTTTTCGTTACCACCAAGAGAAACTACCAAATATGGATCTGATTTTCCAGAGCTGTCTTTCGGTTTTAAATCTATTCCTTTTACAACATACAGACGTACGCATAGTGGCACAGGCTCGTTGTTTGTAGGAATACGTCTCACTTTTATACTAGAATACATAAAAAATATACTTTAATTTTGCAATACAAATGTTAATTTCTTGTATATCGTGATTAATAGTCATCTTAATTTATATAAATAAATAAAAATATTTATATTTGTTATATGATATTATAGTTTTATTGCTAAAAGCTACATAAATGTTGAAATCAGGGCCATCAAATAGATACGATATTACTCGTATTTTGAATTTTTTGTGGAAGACACATGTAGAAGCGAGTAGATATAAGTAAGGCGATCAATCAATCGTCAATGATATTATAGTATATATATTAGGGTGATGCTTAATATGAACATTTTCGAATTTTATTACTCCCAGGGGCTTAAATGCTTCCAAATTCATAAAAAAAACTCTAATAGTTTTAGCTCTTAATATTAACTTTTACATAGTGCGCAATTCAATCAAAGCTTAGTATGGAAATAGCATGGAAAAAAATCGAAAATTTTAAAAATGCTTTTTAGGTATAACTTAATAAAAAATGAATTAAAAGTGACGATTTGTGTTATTTTTATTAAAAATTCGACGCTCTGCAAAACAGGTTTTTTCTAACTTGTTTTGTAGAGCATCGAATTTTGAATAAAACTCATTCATTTGTTTGCTAAGTTATATTTAAAAAACATATTTAATATTTTTTAAAATTTTTCCATGCTATTAAATGCGCACTATTTAAAAGACAATATTAAGAGCTAAAACTTTCCGAGAATAGTTTTTTATCAATTTGGAACCTCTTGAGCCCCTGGGAGCAAGGGAATTCGAAAATGTCCATATTAAGGACTAGCCTAATATATATATATATATATATATATATATATATATATATCTATAATAGAGTGGTTCTAGATATGGATGTTTTTGAACTTCATTACTCCCAGGAGCTCAAATGCTTGCAAATTGATAAAAAAGAATTTTCTGAAAGTTTTAGCTCTAAATATTAACTATAAGATAGTTAGCACGCCAACCAAAGTTTTTTGGTTCTTCTTCCTAAGTAAATACTTGTGAAATATTTCAATAGAACAGAATTTTACCGATGTTATTTCCATAGAAACTTTTGCATATCATATATATATATATATATATATATATATATATATATATATTAAAAAAAATTTAATATGAACATACCTATTAGCAAATTCATTATTCTCGTTTTGGCCGTTATCTCCTTTAGTTATTGAAATGGACGCCCTTAATGTTGCAAAAGGTTCCGGATATCCTTTATGTCCACCTCTGTATAATATAAATCGCTCACACCAATCGGTTAAGCCCGAATATTGGGTTTGATTTTCTAATTCGCAGTCAAATACCTTAAATAAAAATATATTCAGATCAATGCTTGCTCTGCCTTAGTTTGTTATAGACAAGTTTAATTTTACTAATTGTAAAAATTGTAAGTTTTTACTTACTAATTGTAATATGAGAAAGTTAATATATTGGATTTAATGAACATTGTCCTAAATACTGTGGTTGTAATTGTATTGTATGTAATTTTTAATGATTACACTTACACTTAGTTTTACGAAATATGTATAGTTAATAACGACTTTTTGAAATTATCTTGATTTTTATAGTGTTCAGTGCAACCGGATCAACACAAGATCCATCAGTGAAACTACAATTTTGAGAAATAAAAAGTAAAGATATGATAATGTAAAGTGAAAATAAATATGAGAACATGAAATTAGGCATTTGGACATGATTGGAGCACTCTAAATGGGTCTAAACGAAATTTTTCCAAATTCAACCTCTATCTTTGGGTCAATGCACGGGACATCAGAATTCATTTTAGAGGTATGTTTTTTTTCAGCAAAGTATCTTATTTTAAACCTTAGTATCCGAAAATCATATGTGCCTAAGCGACTTTTTTGACCTATTCAAGACAACCCGCTCTAGGATCTACTGATGACACAAAATCATAAAAAGTCAAAATAATATACATTTTTTCGAAACTAATTAACCTAAATATATATAAATTTATATTTGTATATATATTTATATATATATATATATATATATATATATATACATTTCATACCTTCAATTTATACCTAGTTTCAGCTGGATTATGGTATTCTTCATCATTATATTTACTCTGAAATAAAATAAATTGAAAACAGTTTCATAGATTATCAAATTCCTTTTTCATATAGTCATTTCTCGGTCTTATATAATAATAAATATAATCATTTATTAATATTTATAACTATTGTGAAATGTTATTCAATCATTACTAAATCTCTTAGTATTTACAATACAAGCTAAAATTCTACATTTGTTTCTTATTTACGGAACTTAGAATTATTTTCAAATATTTTTAACTTCCCGTAGAAGTTTGTTTTCATCTGAAAATTCAATTCGCTAATTTTGTGTTTTATCGACGTTTCAAGCCATTCTGAATCGAATTAGACCAAATTTGGAAAAAGTATGTGTGTGTGCGTGTATGTGATCAGATTTTTTGCCGTAAATCGACGATTTCTCAAAAACGGCTTAACCGATTTCAAAAATTTAAAAGCCATTCCGTTTTTAGCTTTTATATAGATAAAAGTTAATCATAAGTTTCATATGTGGTAATTACCGGTATTGAGTCATAGTATTTGGTCCACCAATCTTTTTCTTCTTCAATTTCATCTGAATTTGCATTCCTTTGATCAACTCTCACATATTTTGGAATATATTTATCATGCATTTTTCTAATTGTACTTAATTTATTTTTCAACTAACAAAAATAAATATAAAAGTTCTACTTATACCTTTGGATAGCTATATAATTATGATATCATGTATTTGCTCACTTTTATTGGATAACGAATTAAGAACTTGTAAAGCTTTGATTTCGATTTGCTTTTATATTCCTCCGACGAAGAACTATATTCAGCTTTAGATATATTTGTTGACGGGATGGTACTTATTGAAGCTTAAATAAAATGGCTTGTTATTTTTCTATAATATTGGTTATGTTAAATTAATTACTTTAAGATTATTCATAGTAGTACCAATCTAATTACCAAGAAAAGTAGGCTTCATAGATTGATACTTCTATGATTCTAAAAAATTTCATACGGTTAAAAAAATGTCATAATTTTATTTTATTAGATCTCTTCTACTGTTTGAAGTGGATAAATTTTATTTCAAACAAAAAAAAATGGTTATTGAATTTATATTCGTACTTACTAAATCTATTTATTTTGTTATTATACTCACTACAAATGCACGATGCTACATTGTGTGCTGTTTTTCCGAATGTACTTTGTCTCGAATGATAATATAATATTGCAGTGTCTTGCTCTATATATGCTGCTACAACATTTGTGTGTCCATATTGCTTATAATCAAGTAGCTGGAAAACTAATGAAGGCCAGTATTCACATTGTTCTGGCAAACTCTGGAAAAACACATTTTCATTTAACAATTGTTTTATTTTGGTTTTTAATTAGAGTCATATTAATAGATTACAATTCATGGTGCTTAACATTTTATAAACTAGTTGAAAGTGGCATTTTGCCAAGTAATGGGCCGAAAATCGAAAATGAAAATTTTTGCATATCTTCACGTTTTGAAGGTTTCTGAACATTTTGGCATACCTCAGAAACAATGGATGTGTGTGTGTTTTTTATGTCCGCATTTACGTTTTTGGGCACACGGATCCACCGATTGGAATGATCCAAAAGTATTCAATTTGTAATGATTGGGAGAAGTTGTTTTTAGTTTTTGGCAAAGGCAAGTCCAGCCGTTTTGGAGATATGGAGAGAATTGTGCAAAGAAGGGCAGTTTTTGAGAGAATTAAGCATTCGATTTGAATGATTTAAAAAACTTTCTGCTTGTTTTGACAAAATAATTGATTTTATAAAAAAAATGCATTTTATATATTTTTTTATTTTTTTTTTAATTTTAAACAATATTTTAAAAACTACACGAAGTATTTTTTAAAAACGCGGCCGAATAATCCGAATTTTAATTAAACTTTATAATTGAGCCACTTTTTGTAAGACTATAATATTTTAATATGTTTATTATGACCACGCGTCCGCCGCCATACAAATATCATTAAAATCGTCAATATTTTTTTTTAATAATCAATTACGAAGAAATGTCCTGGCAGATCTTTGACCAAAACTAGTCAGCAGGTTTTTCAAATAATATCTTTCAAATTGTTCGTAAGATATTTTCTTTCGAATAGTTCAAACAGTTTTTGTATTTCCAAATTCGATTTAAATTTTTGGCTAAAACGCGGACAAAAAAATTTGCACTTTTCTAATTCTGAAGAAGATCGTATCAAAAAACTAACCGCGAGTGCTTACCAAGTTTCATCAAATGGCTTCTAAATTTTTGAAATTGACTCATCCGTTTTTGAGAAATCGTCGATGAAAAAATTCATCAAATTCCAAAAATAAATAATTAATTAAAAATAAAAATTATTTACAGTAAAATAAAATAGCAAATACTTCTATTGATATCTGATTCGAATAGATAATGTATATGTTATCAATGTTTTTAATTTCTGTATATTTGAAAATCTTTTATCTTTTTTTTGGATAGTAATCCGCACACAGTCTGTAAAAATTTGTACTATTGGAAATATTTATAATAATACGTACAACAAGAATTTCACTCCTCATTTCAATAAAATTAACACTTCGTCCTTCGTATTCAGTGGTGTGACCTGAAATGAATTTTCCTGCGCCAATTTCAGCTTTGATTTTCGGACGACGAATATTGCACCCACGTAAACGACGCACATCCCTCAATCCCCAGAAAACCACTTCCATTCTGATGATGTTTAATTAATAATTATTGAAAAGATTCATTTATCTAGATTATCTCTAAATCTTACTTGAAATGGATCATGTTAGGTCGAATCATTGCTGGTATTGCTACTGATGTACCATTTTTCTCTAATTCTGCAATCGATGCATCATTTACCTAAAAAAAAACAAAAAATATTTTTTAAGATTGATGGATGTATATGCATTTACATAGTTGTGGGTATCTGTATCATAAAATGCAAAAATATTAAAGAAATAAAATAAAAAAGTCGGTGTGTAACTTTCATATTATAGTGACATGTTTCTTCCAAAATAATAAGAATACAACTATAATTATAGTCCGATCATACAGAAAGTGATTGTTAATTACGTCTTAATTAAATGTGCATATTCGTAGTTTAAAACCCTTATTAAAGAAATTTAATAAAAATGTTGAGTTTGATGCGTATAAAATAATTAAAAAAGACGTAGATAAAATTACATTTTAATCGATTTTATAATTACCTATTTTAACTCTTCTACAAACTAACTTTTTTTTGTGTTTTTTTGCGTTATCTATAACTATTTCTTAGATTCGTTCTATTGTACTCTTTGTGAATAGATGATCAAGCAAATAAAAAAAGGTTAATGGGTACCTTTGTGAACCCAAAATATTTTTTTTTGAGTAGGGTAGAGCGGGGCTTAAAGGTTTGCGGGCAAAAATGCCCACCACAAATATTTCAAAAACAAGTAAAATTAGGAATTTCTTAACAACAATATTTGAAAGTAGAGTGAAAAATATGTATAACCAGCCGTCAATATGTATAACCAGCCGTCATCTTTATTCTTACAACGTTGATATCGGGAGATAAACGGCAATGTTTAAAAATCCATAACAAAAGTATTGTTTTTCGGTGTTAGTTTTTTCGGTCGTGATTGTTGATTAGTTTACGAGACCTTAAATTATTTATAAGTATGCGTTATTTAACTGTTTTATAAAATGTATTTTTAATTTTAGTTTCATCAGTTTTTCTTAGGTAATCTCTTTAAAAGCTTACATCTAGGTGTGGTCAAAAGGTCCTGCTGGACCTTCACCCTGGCAAAGGTGTGAAAAATAAAAATAGCAAGTAAAAAAATGAATTGAATAAAAAATGAAATGAGTTAAAGAAAGCAATTTTGCAAAAGATAAATTTAATAAATATTATTCCAAATCCCCTAGGGAATATTTTTGACGAAATACCAGATCATGTTCGTTTGTTGTAAAAAATGCACCCATGAAATTTATATTTTGCATTGAATAATGAAGTTATTATTTTGCAAAATCTCTTTAAAATTAAAATAAGTCATTGTGCCTGTTTGTCCCTTGCTGTCTCAATTCACCCCGGCTATGGGGTGAAGAAGACCAGGTTATAAATTCTTGAAAAACAGCAAAAAACACATTCTTACAATGATAAATAATCTGAGAGTATTACTGAACATAGTCAGATAGTTGTTTGTTTGATATGTGGTATTTGTTGTGTTATAATTGCTTTGGTTTTCACAATATAATTGCTCAAAGTCAAATTGGACCTTTGTAAAATTTTAAATTTCAATTGGACTTTTTGTTAAATTGTATTTGAATCTTTTCATTAATTACAGTGTTACCTGAACAATTTCTGCTGATAGCAGAACCTCGGCAATATAAGCGCCACCTTTCTTCATCACAACCCAATACATGGGCGGTGATTCTGGTTGTGTATCTGATAGTATCCTTACTGATGGTACTACTAAAGATCGGCCCAAAAGTTCCATATGGAGCTGTACACGATATATATATATATATATATATATATATATATATATAATTCTAGTGAATATTGGCAAGGATCCCAAACTATTTCGTCAAGAGCCCTGTGACTGATCGATATAAGTAAATGAGTTCAATTTCACCGAAAATTAAATTATGGAGTAGTGAACCACATTTGCAGGCCATTTATTATAATTATAGGAGTCATATTAGACATAAATTCTAAGTAACGAGTGTTTGGACATCTGAAAGAATCTACAAATATTAAATATTTGTCCAATATAGTCCAACATTTCCAACGGTTATTTAGTGAGACTATTGTTTAAAATATGATCTGTAGTATCATCTTCTTCTTGGTCAGAAATTTGTTGAAAAACAATTTAATAAAAAGTAAAATTATTATCAGATTTCTGTTAATGTGACAACTCCAACATGCAATGCAAGTGAAATCAGTTTTACGACAAGGGATTTACACTACCAGTATTGACAAGAAGAAAAACAAGGAGAAATATCATCAAATTCGTGTGTCGTAATTTATGTATGGTCCCTTACATATTTGTACTTACACATAAGTCCTTATCATAAAGTTCGACAATAATGGATCCCGGATAATCCCGGACAAAATAAGGTCCTCCCCAGAGGTTGACGTCTTCGAATACGAGTGTCGTATCCCACATAGGGTTTAATGTACCTTTAAGTACCTATCGAATTAAATAAGTTCATACATATGCATATGTATATATATATATATATATATATATATATATATATATATATGTATATATATATATATAATGTGTGTTATTTCTAATACTTCTGTGTCTTGGTGATTTCCCATGACAGTGGCACGCAACATAGGATCGCAAAGTCCGGATCCATCGTGACCTACTTGAATTTTTGCCTGATGCAGATATACTCGAACTTGATATAACTAATGGGAAAAAAACTGTTTTAGCTCACACATAAATGTTCAGTATTTTTTTAACATTAAACTCGCTATTTTTAACTTAGGGTAAGTTATTGTAATCGCAAAAAAATCGAAAATGAAAATTTTTATATATCTTTAGAGGTTTATGAACATTTTGGCATATCTTAGAAAAAATGAATGTATGTGTTTGTGTGTGTGCGGATACAAATTTTCGTCGACGATTTCAGGAACACAGATCAACCGATTTGAATAATTTAAAAAACATTTGATTCGCATTGATAATGAGACGTGCTGATTAGTTTTTGGCGAAGGCAGGTTTAGCCGGTCCAAAGATACGGGGTAAAAAGTGCCAAAAACGGTAATTCAGTTTGTAAGAGAACGGAACGTGCGATTTTAACAATTCAAAAAACATTTTACTTGTATTGACAAGATGAAGAACTGATTAAATTTTTGGGAAGGCAGGTCTAGCGGTTATGGACTCTCAATAAAAATAAGTTAAAAAAATGTCATTTGGCAGTCAAAAATGTTCATTGAACATATGGACATCAATATATCAGATATTTTAATAATGTGTACATATTTTGTGTAAATTTTTTATAATATTATTTTGTGTATATTTTTTTATAATATTTTATGATTACGGTACGAAAAGTTCCAGCAATTTGCCTTAAGGCACGATGCCATGCACCCCACTAGTTCCGAATGTCGATTATAATCAAGGGACTAGTGGGGCGCATGGCATTGTGCCTTAAGACAAATTGCTGGAACTTCCCATACCAAAAATTATTTTTTTTAAAAAGATTAACATTTTTGAAAAAAATTTGAAAAAATTGAAATTTGAAAAAAAAAAAGACTTTTTGAAGAGAAATTTATTTTGAAATATTTTTGGAAATTCTGAACTTTTTCTCAAATCAATCGTACTGCGTAAGCGCCGCGTCGCCGTCTAACGGATAAACATTGGTACGGAACCCATAGGAATGTAAACAAAATTTATACTTTATTGTTAAAATATCTATAAAATATCTGATAATTTGATGTGCATGATCATTTTTGACCGCCAAATGGCATTTTTTTTACTTTTTTTTACTAGATCTCCGAAACCGCTAGACCTACCTTCATGAAAATTTGATCACTTCTTATTTGAATTATTCAAATCAAACGCTCCGTTCTCTTAAAAACAGAGTTACCGTTTTTAGCACTTTTTGCCCCATATCTTCGGAACGGCTAGACCTGCCCCTACCAAAAACTAATCAGCACGTCTCTTTATCAATACGAATCGAATGTTTTTTAAATTATTCAAATCGCTTCATCCGTGTTCCCGAAATCGTCGACGAAAATTTGTATCCGCACACACACACACACGCACACACACATCCATTTTTTCTAAGGTATGCCAAAATGTTCAGAAGATTTTGAAACGTAAAAATATATAAAAATTTCCATTTTAGATTTTTTGCGATTACTATAACTTGCCCTACGGAAAGTTAATAATCTATGTTTGACGTGTTTTACGACTTACACCCGATTCTGCACAAGAAACGATGTTTGATATTCTAACTTCCTCATCGTCTTCTTCTGTTTCTTCAATATGATGAGAGCTTATGCTCCATGGCTCTGGAATGGACGTAATGAAGTGGTGATCTTGCGTCTTAGCACCCAGCCAAAACATCACAACGGCTTTTCCTAATACACAATCGCAGTCATTACAAGCGCGAAAACATTGTTTTGGCTGAAATATTTGTTTTGTGTTATTTTCCATTTATAAGTAGTTCGATGGTTATCAATAGCCGAAATAATACAATATTACTAATACTTGATGATTTTCAGTATCAACAAATTAAAAACAAACACTTATCCTATCCAGATGTATGTGCCATCTGCATTAAGACAAGTTGTAAAAAACTTCACGATGTGTGTAAATAATAATCAACTTAACCAAAAGAATAGAAATTGATCAACTTTTCAAATCAGAACGATAGAATTTTGAAATTTTGACACGGCCCATTATTCCAAACGTTGATGAATTTTAGAATGTTATTTAAAACTATTAATACAATCATTAAATTTTGCTAAAACAATAAGAACAAAGAAATGGCCAATTTCTATCAAAAACTAGTGGTGCACGGCATCGTGCCTTAAGGCAAATTGTTGGAACTTCCCAATTATCAAAATCGCTAATTTTAAAACTTTCCCTTTTTCGGGAAGTTAGAAATGTTTCATTTGAATGAAAATAACTGAAACAATTTGTAAAGTTTTGAAAAACGATAAAAAAACGATTTTTTTGTCATGTTTATAAACTTTCCGAAGAAGTTTATGTTTTCATAAAAAAATCAGATTCGCTAATTTTTTGTTTTCTCGGTGTTTCAAGCCGGGTCGTTTTCTTGTAATAAAGTGTAAAAATTTTTTTTCGACAATTCTTATGCATTTTTGTTTGACAGTATAACCATAGTCTTATAGATCATACTAAAACATTACGGCCCTACGACAAATCATTTAATTTAAAATTCGTCAAAGTTTGCAAAAATTGTTTTTTGGCGTTTCTCAAAATTAGACATTTCTTCGATGTGTGCTCAAAAACGCCTGAACCGATTTCATAAATTTAAAAGATACATTTGATGTATATCGATGAGGGTTATGTTTTGTCAGTTTTGTGCGTCGATCTGCCGAGCCGTTTCTGTGTAATTTGGAAAAAAGTGTTAAAAAATCGAAAACTGTTCAAAAGATATTAGTTGGGAATAATACTGATTAGTTTTAGGTAAAAGTCTACCGAGCCGTTTTCTTGTAATTAACTGCTTGAAAAAAATTTAAGCCGATTTTTATGGAACTTTTTTGGCGTTATATGCCATGGTCCTATAGAACTTACTGAAATATTAAGGCCTTACGACAAGTAGTTTAATTTTAAAAATCCATCCAAGTTTGAGAAAATGAGTAGTTTTTTTTGACGTGTGTTAAAATTAAAATTAGACAATTTACTTGGTATAACGGTAGTACTTGGTCTTAATGAACATATTAAACTACTAAAGTCCTACGGAAACTGGTTCAATTATAAAAATTATTAATTTGTGAAAATTTGATTTTAGAAAATACCCCGAACGTCGTATTCGTTCGTTTTCAAATATGTGTGATAAATCCACTAGAAATACTTTTAATCACTCATAATTAACTTCCCGTAGGGTAAGTTATAGTAATCGCAAAAAAATCGAAAATGAAATTTTTTATATATCTTTACGTTTCAGAGGTTTCTGAACATTTTGGCATACCTTAGAAAAAATGGATGTATGTGTGTGTGTGTGTGTGTGTGTGTGTGTGTGTGTGTATGTATGTGTGTGTATGTATGTGCGGATACAAATTTTCGTCGACGATTTCGCGAACACGGATCAACCGATTTGAATAATTCAAAAAACATTCGATTCGTACTGATAAGGAGACGTGCTGATTAGTTTTTGGCGAAGTTAGGTCTAGCCGTTCCGAAGATACGGGGCAAAAAGTGCCGAAAACGGTAACTTAGTTTTTAAGAGAACGGAGCATCCGATTTGAATAATTCAAAAAACATTTTACTTGTATTGGCAAGATGAAGAGTTGATAAATTTTCATAAAGGTAGGTCTAGCGGTTTCGGAGATATCGAGGAAAAAGTAAAAAAATGAGCCATTTGGCGGTCAAAAATGATCATTAGACATATGCACATCAAATTATCAGATATTTTATAGAGATTTTAACAATAAGTATATATTTTGTTTACATTCCGATGGGTTCCGTACCAATGCTTATGCGTTAGACAGCGACGCGGCGCTTACGCGCTTTATATTTTGTCCCTATGCAGTTAAAGCAGTACGATTGCTTTGAAAAAAAAAAGTTCAGATCTTCCACAATATGTCAAAATAAAAGAAAAAAATTTTTTTTTCAAAAAAAAAAAAAAATAAAAAATTTTTTTTTTTAAATTTTCTTTTTCAAAAAAAGTAATTTTTTGTCCAATTTATAGTTTCTCAAAAATCTTATTTTTTCAAAGTAATTTTTTTTTCAAAAATGTTAATCGTTTTTAAAAAAATAATAATTTTTGATACGGGAAGTTCCAGCAA